TTTTAAATTTAAATACTTATACATTTTTTTTGAGTTAAAATTATTTGTCCCGTTAATTTGTTTTTACATTTTTCTAAAACAACAATTTTTTCTTTATTTTTTTTTTGTTTAGAAATTCAGTTTTCAACTTTTCCGTTTTGTCCGAAATTTTTCGGTTGAAACAACAATCTGATCTCTTATAGATATATAATCGGTTCAAAGTGACCTGGTTTTGAATTTGTATGTGTGCTGCGTTCGATTAAAGTGACATAATATAATGTGTCACCGTAACAACGACAGTATGTGCATGCATTTTACACTGTACTTACTATACTATGGTTATTATTTATGCGGACGTCGTCGTCGTTATAAATTTATTGTTTTCGGTTGTGTTATATTGAATACAACGACGACGCGACAGAGGCATAAAACGAAAAAGTTCCAAGACAAAAGAGTTTACAGATCTCTCTATCCAACGGTACAACAAGAAAAAAGAAAAGAGCCAAAACTTCGGCAGGTAGTACCTACACGTGTTTGTACTTTTACAGTATAAATTAATATGATTTATAATACAATACATTCTAAATCCCGGACGTACCGATAAATCACTAGTAGAGCTAAGTCCGGATTAAGGGGCAATAGGGGTGTTACGTTCTCTGGGCCCACGAATATAATGGGCCTACCGTGGCACCATTTGTATATAAGACATATTCGTTATATAACTGTGTGATAAAAAATTGTTTATAGAATTATCTATAATTTAAAATTATTCAAATTCTACCACATCATGCTAGTGATTATTGACTCAGTTATAGTTTACGAATAATTTCTTATTTTTTTTAGTTTTTATTTGGTTTACTAGTTTAGTTTATTTTATTTAGTTTTACCTGATTGAATTTATACAGCAGGGTCCACATCAAAACCCTTAGTCTGTGCCTGTTCCGTTGTATTTAAATCAAAAATCAGTATTCATTTTTAACTATAGAAAATAAATATTAAAAAATTACCTCAATATTTTGACTTTAAATACAATTTACGTATAAAATAAACTTTCACATTACATATGCTCGATATTTTTTTATCAATAAAAATAAATCACGTTGAACGAATTGTATAAAATTGTTGAGTATTAGTATTAGTACCAGGCTTTTCTAAGGTTCGCCGTACCGATAAAACTAGATGAAAACTGCAATACGCGTTAGTACTGACCACAATAAAAAAAAAAAAAAGTGTAATTTTACTGGATCTTTTAAAATCAAGATTGCGTCTTTTACTTGTCACAGGAATTCCTGGAATTCCAGGAGTTCCGGTGCCTAAAATACCGTTTAGTAAAAAACAAAACAAAAATACCCGTCTGCAATAGTTACCATATCTTCGCAATATCATAAAATATTCCAAAAAGAAAAAAACTACATGTTATCAGTTAACAAACAAAAGCACTACGTTTTATAGATTACGGTCTTTGCCACCGCGGTCTACGGATTATATGCTATCGCGTCGGTAATATAAATTAATATAATATTTCAATTATGCGTTTGCAAAAACATTGATATAATAATATAGATAACACAGCGGTAATATATTTGCATGCACTTGCTGGTATCTAAATGATAAAATAAAATATTTTATGTAGGTACGACTAACTGATTACTGCGAACTGCATACCGGTATTCGAAAAAGATTTCAATTTTTTTCTTCTCTTTTTGGTTTTTATACGAGGGTGAACATTATAGAATTAAAAAAATAAACGTTGAGTTTATTTAAACGTTAAACCTTTGATTTGTGATTCACTAAATATTTTTGTTTTACATCGTAACATAATAAATAACAAGATACATTTGAATTAAACATCACATAAAGTTAATTTGAAAGTTGTTTTGCTTAAAAATATGTGGGGCTTGAAATAAGTACAAATTAATTGGTATTCACAGAATAAATTAAAACGTTTTTATCATAGTGATGGAAAAAATCCGGATTTTTAGATATTTTTTGCTTAATTCAAAGTAGTCATACATTTATATGAATTTAAAGTAAATAAAAAAATTGAAAACACAAATGCCTAAGAAAAGCTAACAAATATACTGATAATTATCAAAAATCCTGAAAATAAACGATTAAATGAGCCGTATTTCAATTAATCGACATAGTCGAATTGCTCTAGATGTACCTACACACTTAACTTAAAAAAAAGAAAACATAGAAACATTGTCGAGCCAATAACTTAATATTTCATTTAATATCATATCGCATCTAAAAGTATAATCAGTCGATTGGGTAACAAAAAAAAAACATTATTTTTAACGTATTATTTGCGTTATAAGAATCCTTACTCAGTGCCGTAGAAACCGCGGTGCGGGTGGTTCAAAGCGCCAGGGCCCCCGCTTCGAATTCTTGTATTGGGTTCATACTTAAAATCATTTAAGTACCTATAATAATAACAAAATATTTTTTTTAATAAAACCATAATTTGGTAAGTTTAATTTACACGATATATGTAGGTATCATCTTTTAGCATATTTCCATTTAGTATCAATATGATTAAGTTTTATAAATCTATAATTTGTGATTTAATATTGGTTTTATTATGGTATTTATTTTATTATATATATGTATATGTATAATTTATTTTTTTTTAATCTGCGGACAACTTTTCCATCACAAATTTTTTTCTGATTTTTAAGTATAGATCTTTTTCTGAAAAGAAATCTGACTAGGATGATACACAGAGAAGGTCATTTGTTTTTCCAAAAAGTTTTCATAATATTTGAGAAAAACCGAGAAAAAACGTAGGAAATACATAGGAACTTACGAAATGTATTATTTTCGAATCGTAAATAAAACGTCCATTTAATACATATTTAACCGAGCTGCGCTCAGAATCGTTTTTCGTTATCAAATATTAATCGTTGCGTACTGATATACATTCAATTTTCCCTTTAAACTTCTCATCTAAAACATCTTCGCACGATGGGTGGGCCTTCGTCCGTAATTTTTTTCAAAGTATACGGTTAGATTAAAATATATTTATGAAAAATGATGGGTCCACAAATTAAATTTGCACCGGGGCCCATTTAACTATGGCTACGGTACTGTCGTTTCTCTCTTGACTTGCTCGACCTTTGTTTCACGTTACAACATGAAAATTTTATTCCAATCGGGTGTATTCAGCATATTATTATATTTTATTACTGCGTGTAATAAATTGCGTGCCTACAAAATATATATTATGTACCGTTTCTGTATAATATATTAATATGTTATTGTTTAAATAACGTTATAAATGTTTGCGTTTAACGCTTTAAAACGTGTTTATTTTTTCCCCTAATGCAGAATTTTAATGTATGCTAATAATTGTTCCGTAGTTTCACGTTTGCTTCGTTTGTATTCCCACAATGTGTGTGCATGTGTGCGTATTTTTTTATTTATTTACTTCGTTTTTATTATACTATAATACTTAAATACGCATATAATTTTAAATATACTCGCGTAATATTACTGCACAACAAAATATTATTCTAAAAGAGAATATTATACTTTTAGTACCGTTCAGTGTGTTTATTTTTGTCCTTGTTAATAACACAATAATACATATACTGATTTTTTTTTATCATCACGAATCCACAATGATTGTAGTCTAATAATGTCTCTAGGGGTGCTAAAATGCCGTATATATAACCTACATTTAATGTCTACACAGAATATGTTCATAAATATCTATAATTTTTTATAAGCAAACTAAATGTATTATAGTTTTTATCGCATTCAACATATTCAAAATGTATTTGTAAACCTAGTAATTATGGAAAAGAGAAGGCATGTTTCTAAAAATTATTAATACGCATAACATTCATGGTGAATTTACAATTTTGTATGAGTTTTTATTCTTTTAAGTTTAAAGTTTTAACAAATTTGCGATAAAAAGGGAGGGGGAGGTCGCTTATGTAATTTTCTGGATAAATGAGTAGCAATAATAGTTTAAAAATTATGCTTCATAAATACCGTTGTGGTTGAAAATCAGATTTACCGATAAAAAATCCTGAGGTGAATCGTTGGAATATAGGTAATAATAATATTAAAAAAAAAACATCCTGTATTTTACGTTCAGAAGGTAAATATTTCTCTGATAACCGTATAATGATATATAATGTAAATACGGATTGCTGTTGAGCACGTCATAGTTTATTGTTTTACATTTTATAACCGTTTTAAAGTTTACGAGAAGAGGGGTGGAAGGTATGTAGAGAAGAAGCGAGATATAGCGCAATAAAACATATCGGTGAAATTAATCGGCTTCTGTTTCTGCGCATACACCCTTTGACTAAACTTTAAGCGTTTGTATACAATAATTCAACTACTAAGTTGACGTGAAAAGAAAAAAAGGGACTTTAGAGACGAAAAATAATAAAATAACGTAAATGACTAAGCGTATAACTATAAGTGTTTCGGAATATTTCGCACAAATCGTAACAGCAATAATAACAACGGTAATTCATTATAATATTCATGGTTTTTAGGCAGCGTTTTTAAACGATGTGTTTTCTTTCGTTTGAAAACTAGCGATTTGTAATCGATTTTCCAAACGAGTTAATTATTGGACCGTAGATAAGGAGCGTTAAGAGAAAATCGGAAACTATTATCACTGAAATGTTTTAAAGAATTTTAGGTAGGCAGACAGCCGTTAAGATCGAATATTACTGTAGAATAATAACGAAATGGGAGAAAAAAATGAATTGAAAATTTTAAAACAAAACGAGAAAAATAGTATATAGTTTATTATAAACCATGTATGTTTATTTGTTTTACAAAAAAAACAATACGGATGATAAATTTTGGAATTTAAAAATCCTCAAACAAAATTTCGATTCAGCCTATCGTCATATAATGTCATATTATTATATTTAATATTTCGTTGGTCCTAGAGAAGAAGTTAAAATATTCACTTCTTCCCTGCACGGAACCAAACAAATATACGTATAACTATTGTTAAATTAATACTGAGGCCTGGTGTTTTTTTTTCCAGGATGTCGGGTCCTGTAAAAATTTCCAGTATACCGGCAGAATATAATAACGACAACAACTTTATATTTGTGTACAATCTCACCAAACAATGTCTACAAAACTATACAGGTTTTGAAAAAAAATAGAAAAATCATAAAAAAAAATACGTAATAATATAAAATGACTGATGAAGTCGGTAATGTGTGAGGTTTTTTTTTATTTTCAGCAAAATCGCACAAGAATTCATGTCCGAAGACTTTCGACGGATACGCGTGTTGGGAAGAAACGTTACCAAACACAACAGCTTACGCTCAGTGTCCGTATTACGTGATGGGATTCGATCCGTCCAGTAAGCGATTTTTTTTTACAAAATTATATTATATATAGTATAATAATTAAGAATTATGGCTGTGTTAAAAATAATTTAATATCCGAGTTAAAAATTATTTAATTTCATCTTTTAAGTTTGTTTTTTTTAACCAATAATATAATTTATAATTATTAGTTTTACATTAAAATAATGAATGCCTATCGAATTATGTTTGTAACAAGTTAATTTTAATTTCATATAATTGCTAAATTATAAGCTTACAACCATATAGACATACCTGGACAGTATCGAGCATAGCAAACATTACATACAGTTTTTTATTAAAATTTTGGTTTTACTCAAGATTGATTATAGAATATCGAGTTTAAATTAAAATATAGTTTGATATTTCCGTCAAAATGTTACAAAAGAAATAAATTCAAATTCAAAGATCGGGAGTTCATTCAATTTTCAAATTTATTACTAACTTTATTGGATAAATATAATTAAGTTACCTACCCCAATCTTGGTGATAGTGTATAAAAAATAAATTGCATGTAATTATTCAAGTATAGGTGCTATACTTCAAAATAAAATACGTAATAATAATAACCATATATATATTTAAGAACAAATATTACCTATACTCTAAGATAATACCAATAACTATCTGATGACGATATGTTTTCCGAAATTTGTATATCACTATTTCAAATTAATTTTTGTTTATCTCGCGCACAAAAAGCATTTCGTTTTGAATATATTAATTTGGATTTTATCGCGGTGAAAAAGTAAACCCGCCATAAACATTTTAGTCTTTTACAAACAATAGTATTTTTCATGTATACGAGAAAAAAATTATAAATACGTTTTTTTTTTTTTTTTTTCATTGTAAAGTGCAATCACGAGAAAATACAATTTTCTGCGGTTATAGAAAAACAATATCAAGTAAAAAAAAAACGAATCTGCCAAAACCAAATATACAGCTTCGCTATGACGTTACTTACAAGTACCTATATAATATATCTAACGAAGCCAAACGATAACAGTTATTTTATTTATTATTTATCAACTAAAACATTGTACACGATTTATTTCTTTTCTTTTTTTTGTGAGAAAATTCTATTTCAGCTAGGTGAGTTTGATGTATTCTTTTTCTGTACAGTTGGAAAACTCCTCAATCTAACCGAATTCGGTTTTGCTACTTATAAGATTTTTTGAAATAATATATAAACAAAATAATGCCGTTTTTACCGTGTGTTTTACTGGGGATTGTAAGGGAAAAAAATAATAACGTTATGATCAAGAATACATTCGAAATAATCCTTTTTTCGCAAACATCTCGATGTAAATGTGAAAAAACTCCGTAAACAGCAAAACTCCGTCCCTAGAGTCGAATTTCCCTCAGCTTATTTTGTTTTATAAAAATTTTCTTTGTAAAACATTGTGAAACCAAATACTAAAATAATGAAATATTCTATTATATACTATAATACTACACCTTGTGGAAGGAGATCAAAACTCTCACAATACACCTTACTCTGTCATAAAAGGCGACAAATAAGGTTTCGTTGATTGTCAGCCGTTGTAAAATTCTGTCAAACAGTATGAGGAATTCTACACAAGACTTTGGTGGATTTTCGTGAGGACAACAGGTGAAAGGAGGTACCATGGTGTTTGCAAATGATATATTTTTAATAGAAGAAAACGTGGAAGAAGTTAGCAATAGGAATGCAGCGTAACATTTAAAGATAAAGTACTAAGGATAAATAGAAGTACAACTGAGTATGAGTTTAGAGGAAATAGGAAAAGATAGCTAAGAACAATAGGTGATTATAGGCGAGGTTGAGAGCTTTAATTACCTAGGTTCTTTTGTACAAAATAATAATAGCTTTCATAAGGATGTAAAACATAGGATTAAGTCTAGTTAGATAAAGTGTGAAGAAGAGTTAGGTATTTTATATTACAAGAGGACTCCAATGAAACTTAAAGTTAAGTTCTACAAAAGTGTGGTGAGATAGTATGATTCGAAGGTTTTGACAATAGACTGATACTTAGAATAGATAATGAATATAACTGATTTGAGAATTTTTAGGTTATGAGTGGAGTTATTTGAGAATATAGGATAAGGAATGAGTACATTAGGGATAGCATAGGCGTTGCTTTGATGGAAGACAAAATAAAAGAAAATAGTCTGAGATAGTTTGGGCATATCACAAGGAGAGCGGAATCTAAAGTAGTAAGAATTGTATTGAAAAATAAACATAGGAGGAAAGAGATTAAAAAAACCGATTTCCGAAAAATAGTGAAATTTACAGTATAAAAATGGTTGAGATGGGGTCTGAAATCTGAAACTTCCTGACGTTAAAGCCATGAATATACTAATTTTCATATCGCCATTCGGGGTCTGCAGGGGTCTTTAAATCATCACCCGCATTAATATAATGAACCACACATTGAATCCCAATTTGTATCACTTAAATCAGTTTATAAATCAACTGTTATTTTTAAATTTAAGCTAATTTGGTTGATAAGAAGCAAATAATTGTGTTTAAAAGTACCGGGAAAAGATAAACATATATAATATATTATTAGTATACCGATTATACGTAATGGGTTATAACGGCCATTGAAATATTTTAAATGGCTAATATTAAATAAGGGGTGAACTTCCAAAATGTCCGATTTTTAGTGTTTTTCACAGTTACAGAGTATATAAAAAAAATGTTTGACTATAATGTACTAAAACCACGCACTAACCTATATAAATAATGTTATGTTTATGTAAAGATAAACTGACAATAATATATAATACAGAATGATTCACTTAATTGAATAAACTGATTATCTCGGAAAGTATAAACTTTTTTGGAAATATATTATTTTTTTTGAAAAATTAAGAAACAATTGGTTTTAAAATATTACATTATCATTTTTCTTTTTTTTGTCAACCTTACTTTCATGGGTGAAAACAACGGTCTACTTTTGATTTTTAAATGGCAACCTAAATTAAAAATGCCTTAAATAAATAGAGTATTTTCGTTAAAATAAAGTTTGGTGTTGAAATTCTTGATTTCCGTTAACCCGTTGACACGATATTCTACTTTTAAATTTTGGTTAGGGAAAGTAGCGGAGCATCATTTGTGTGGTGGCACGGTGCGCGGCGTATGAAAAGTGCTCCACTACTCTCCCCCCACGAAAACTTAAACGTGGGATAACTTATGAATGGGTTAACGGGAATCAAGAATTTCAACACCAAACTGTATTTTAACTAAAATACCTAATCTATTTAAGGCATTTTTAATTTAGGTTGCTATTTAAAAATCAAAAATAAATAGATCTATTATCCCTGAAAATATGGTTGTCAAAAAAAAAAAAAAAAATATAATGTAACATTTTAAAACTAATTGTTTCTTAGTTTTTCAAAAATAATATATTTCGAAAAAAGTTTATACTTTCCGATATTTTAAATTTTTTCAGTTTAGTGAATCACCCTGTATGTATACATATATATATATATATATATATATATATATATACTTATAAAATATTGTATGTCAATCGTACTCATCTGAAAAAAGTTGACTGACTGTAGTGACCACTTGGCGTTCTTTTACAATTTAGGAAACTAAATATACTACGACACAAATTCGCATTGAAATCATGGTTATTAAAAAGAATAAATTACAAATATGTGGGTGCATCTACGTTTTTTTTTTAATACGGGAATGTCGCGCCCCAAAAAATTGTCTCCGTCTTACTAACTTCCAAAACAACGAAAAAGGTAATGTAACTCGGAACATAGATTTAAAAAAATTGTCAAAAAAAAAATACAATCGCTCAATAAATCATAAAAAAGCTACATTAAACCCTCAAAAATATTCTCCTCTATAAATTGTGTTATTTGAGGTTAAAATCCAATTTCAATCTAAATGTCACAATTCAAGTTCTAAGTATAGGAGACAAAATATTATAGAATTTGGCCGTTTGTATATAATTAAATAAGATGTTTTAAGAAACTTTAAGACATAATTTTTATTTTTTCAGGAGCTTACTCCCCCTTTCTACGTGACTAGTTTTGTAAAAAAAATGTACAAAGTACTTAAAATACTGAAAAAAGTAGTTAGAAAAAGCACGGGAGGGAAAAAGAAATGAAAATTGTTAAAGTTTTCGGAAAAAAAAATTAAAAAACGATCCAGGTACTTTTTAATCTAAAATGGTGAAAACTTTATTTCGGATTGTTTAGAGATATTTTTTTTTAATGCATAAATTGTCACAGGTTCTAAATTATAATACGGCGAAATTTTGTTGTACAATACAATACGATAGGTACCACTGACCTATTTTGAATATAGAAGCCAGAAACTATTATTTTTAAAATTAATATATTTTCTAAAATAGTTTACAGTCAAAGTTATGTGCGATTTTATTTTTAACGTCGCCGCCAAATTTACGTATTCATAAATACAAATTTACGGTGGCCACCGAACATACGTTGTCATATTTCAAGTTCTGCATATAATGACATTTTTCGTCATATGGTATATATAGTACCTTGACCATATACTTACCTTGGCAGATTTTAATTTAAAAAAAAAAAAAAAATACAGAAAATACATAAATTAATATTTATAATACTTGGTTTTAAACCTGACCGGAAATATGCCAATCCAATTACACGAGGGGGAAAAAAAACTGAAAAAACACAGTTCAGTCGATTTCCGAAAATTTAGCACTATATTCCGACAAAAACGATCGTTTCAGTTGTAGCAGTTGATAATTATTATCTATTGTATCCAGTGACATAGCCGAGATGAGGGGACTAAGATGTTGTATCCTCCTATTCCAATTTTGTTAACTTTATGTGAGGTTAAGGAGTTTGTAGACCCTATATACCATCTAGAACTCCACAGACCACCTTCCTTCTCATTAATAAATCATGGATACACAACTGGCTTGTCATACCCTCTCATAGGAATTTCCAGTGTAAAATCACTGGTTCCAGTACCAACTTATAAAAACAAAACAATTATTAAAAGAAAGCTAATTGATTAATATACAAATCAATATTTAGTCATAGAAATTTAATTATAATAGTTAAAACAGTTTTTTGATATTATCTTATTTTGTAATGATTCCGTTGCAGTTTATAAAATATTTTAAAGATTTAAAATAATATATAATATATTTGTATATACATATATATTATATTTTTTCATTTTAAAAAATTTTTAGTGGCACTCCATGAGCTTATTCTGGAGCCAGAATGAAGTTTATATACTTTCTACAAGTTGTTTGGAACTTCCAATTAGAAAGTACAAAAACACGTTTATACAAACGATTTTCTCAACTATGACGGTTGCTGTCGCCACCGCCTTGCCTCGTAATTAACATTATTCTGAACAATATTTTTTCTTGGGTAACACCGAAAAACTTTCACTTGACTCATCGAAACCTCGAGTACTGCATGAGTATACTCATTTATTAAATTTTAAAGGCGGTTTATTTTTCGGCTAAATTATCGCCCGTAATTAAAAACACGACTACCTATATGAAAAACTGTGAGATTATGATACATCTGTTTTTGACAACAATACCTGACTATTTTCGGCCCGTACCTAGTTCGGTCACTAATAATCGTCTTTCAAAAACACAATGATTGGTCGACCCGTATTGTATTATATTATTATAGTCTGTCCGGTTTCACAAAATATATCTAGGTAAGAGGACGATTAATTAACACGAATTTATAATAACTTGTCATTTCCCATTCAGTTTCCAAGACGTTTGTGCAGATTTCGAAAGATTAAACGTATATATATTTTATATACGCAAAAGGTTGAAACTGCTAATGAGTGTGCCACTGTTTTAGTGGGGGGGGAGGAATTAGAAGAAAGGATATATAGGGTAATTTAATGTATATCTGCTGCGCGCAACGAAAAAACAGTTGCTAATAAGAAAGCGATTCTGAGCAGAATATAATTATTCGTATTTTTTCCTCGTTGATTGTTACCAAGCTAAGACAGAAAATCTCAAAAATTAAAAAAAATTCGAGGAAAAGCCAAATATTGCCTCTTATACCTCTTAAATGTAACAATTAGATAAAAATAGATACAAAAATGCTAAATGAAAGTTGTTATAAAGCTTTAATTGTTGCAAGATTTATGATACGAAATTTGTTTACAGACCAAAAAAAAAAAAAAAAAACATATGCATCATAATAAAACTAACACATGTCCCGCTTCGCTCAGAATCTTGGAAAAATATGATAAGGACAATACTTATAGATTTAAGATTTGAAATTAGATATGCGAAACTATTTTAAAATGCTGGAGAACACAACCTGACTTATAACAAGGGACACAGTAATAATTGGACAAAACACTTCAAATTATCGTTTTGTGTCTCGAAACCAAGCTGTTAAACTATCTGCAGAAATCGAAGCAAGCTGCTGCCGCGCAAGAGAGACCACAAAGCGACGAAGACGACAGCGATGTCACAGTGTAAGAAAAGAACAAATTCTATTTACTGCACGAAGAACAGCGTATACTTTGCGATTAAATTAAATTTCGAGATTGTGACTTTGATCCGACCCGTTGGTGAAGCGAACTTCTGGTTGGCGTCGAAAATATACGCGTGTAGATATTAGTATACTACGCGGTGGTATGTTAATGAAAAATGCTCTCGGGAATTTACACCACACACTATATGTATCCCACGCATATTGACCGGATAAAACATTTTTGAACTTTCCGTGTGCATATATGTATGATTTCGGTTCGCCCGAAAAGTTTAACTTAGTGGACGAATGTAAATAATAGTTCGTGTCGTCATCCGAACTTTCACGGTTTCTTTTTTACGTCTAATGCGTTTGTTTCGTTAAATGATTTCGCACGTTCACGATTCGCGTTAGGTATACATAATATTGTATTACACGATGGGTTTTAATTAGGTATATTATGTTCGGAGAGTATCGCTTAAAAAGTACCCTTCTATGCGGCATTGTATAATTGTATATGAATACATTATTTCAGAAACAATTGTACAACTATCTGACCGACTGAATTACTAAAATTGTATTCAATTAAAATATAGAGTTTACGAAAACGATGTTGGCCGCGTGTAACTACAACAAAAAATTTTTCGAAATGAAGAAATTAATAATAGATTTAATAAAAGAAAAACTTCAGAAGGCCAGGCTGACGGGAGGAGACGAAGACGACGGGATGTTGTGCAATAAGAAAAACACGGGAGGAATTTTTCGCTCGTCCGACTAATATATAATATACAAAGCAGGGGTGTGCGGGGGTGAAGAACTAAAGCGTTATTATATTTTACGAAACGCGAGATTAACATCATAGGTAACCTGAAAATGATATTTTTGTATTACTGAATTCTCATAATTTAATTTATAAGACATTTTTTGGCAAAAAGAATTTCCAAAGTTAACTTTTACACTGCGGTAGCCAGGTAGCTTTTTATATGAAAATTCTTGCCCTGAAAATAAAATGTTCAATTACCAGCATTTACTAACGGATCACTATGTGTTGCAGTTATTTCAACTTTAAACATTATGTAGATGTATCGTAGATTTGCCATATAGCGTTGATCTCACACATTTATAGGTTAGGCTTTGAAAAACAAAAAAAAAATGTATCCAACCAAAATATATAGAAATGAAATATTATCACTATTAAATTTATAGTAACTTAAATATTCCATTCTTCTATGTACGAGTGGAAAACTCGTTTACGGCACGTACTCTGAAATCTGTGCGTGTGTGGATTTTTTTTTAAACAAATGTTGTTTGTTTTAAAAAAAAAGAACGAGTGACAAAACCAACATAATATAATATTATTGGAAATATGTCGTGATTGTTTTCGCCCCTGGCAATAAAAAATGGCTTCAATCGAAATTAAATACACTGATATTTTTCGCATTATTATGGCAGGTTTCTCGGCTCCCCGAAAAATACGAGAAAACACGCTGCCGTTCGATATAAATATTACATACGGACGACGAAAAACTTCTTGAGGAATTTCCTGTCGAAACTCTGATAAATCAATTGAACATATTTCGTTATTGAATTTCAATAAAATATAATTTCGTTGGACCACAATAAAACGCGCAGTGTTTGTAGAATGAAAACTATTTCAAAAATGTCGAAGGCGACTGCCTACGCGTCTAGGATCCGAAATGCGTTGTCCAGTAGGTATTATTTAATTCGGGCTCGCGTGTAGACAATATTTAAAAATAGATAGGTAGTTGAAAAAAATGATCAACTTAAAAATATTTAAATTCCCTTTCAAGAAAAATTACCTGAACTCTACTTGTTTTTAAGACGCCAGAGAATGGAGAATAAAATACAAAAAAAAAACTTAATTGACTTTTCCGGGAACATATTTTAGACGATCAAAAGTAGACTGGACAGTTAAAGTCTACTGCAGTAGACAAGACACAATTGGTGAAGTGAAATTTCACTTTTATGCACAACAATGGAAGAGAAATCTGAAAGAAAAAAAAACCTCTTGAAAGATCTTATGTGGAATGATACGATGTGGTGGAGAAGGACGTGAAATATTTAAAAAAGAAGGACCAGACTACAAATTAAAATTAGCTTACGGAGAGACCCCAGAAAGAAGAAGAAATTTGGAATTAATTTCAACGAAAAACGTTTCCATGGAAAAAAATACCCTTCAAAATAATTTTAGAGATAATACCGATTTTTCTAAATATTTTATAGAGGACAATATTTCCGAGAGGTAACTTCGTAATAGTATTATGTGTTTTGCATGACCTGCGATGTAATTTATTTTCAAATATCTGCACCTATTTTCACCCGATTAATACTTCGAAAAACGCATTCTACTATGGAGTTATACTTTCTAGCAAAAAATATTGTCCACACTGTATTTGATTTTCTTATAATGTCAGGTTTTTCATCGCGGTATATTTTCGACTGTTTTGTGTGTAATCGTATCCATAGTTTTTACCGCTGAAAACCATCCGATAACCAGCTCTTTTAATCATTCGAGTCCAAAACGTTCACTACACCTCATCATCTGTTACTAATGCAATAACATAGAAACTTAAATCGTAATAATATATTATATTCTTATATAATTCCGAGTCGGACATCGGTCGTCTGTCTCCCGACAGATAACGCTATGGTATTGTTATTATTGTTATTATTATAAGGTACCTTACGTGTATACTCGGGTTTTGATATATTATTATTACGATCTCGTGATGGCCACCTCTTCTTATTTCCAGCGTTGCAGCGAGTGTTGACCCCATATTAAATATATATTAAACAATAAATATATTAGCTACGACTATCTCTCAACAATATACCACACATAAAACGAAATGAAAAAAATGGACGATTACCTGGGTGTGTGTGTGTGTGTGTGTGTGTGTTTATTGTCATCAGTTAGAATTCGGAAAAACGTATTGCCGAGAAGGGAAATAGATATGGTTTCGACGGTCTCAACATTCTAAACTTAAACCTATAAAAAGCACGAGTCCTGCTTTAATTATGATATTTATAATACTCCTCTCAAACCGGGTTAAAGATTAAAAATAAAGTCAAAATCAGAGTAGGTTTTTTTAAAATGAATATTATCGAGGTGAATGTTTGAAAAATCACTACTTTGCTCGAATATATCAATATTATTCGATGAATAAAAATGTAGAATAAAAATAATTATTCTTCGTCTATAACACATATAATTATTATTATAAAGAACGCAAACGCTTAAATAGAAAATAAAGCCAATTGTAATTAACGTAAATACCACCAAAACGCATAGGATTAATTTTCGTTTTGTTTCAAATAATTTAAATATAATGCGAATTATGATCATGGTGCATCATAAAATAATTATTTAGACATCGGTATATAGAAACGAAAGAAAGTTTTGTTTGTGCAATTAAAAAAAAATTCATTGTTGAAATTTATAATAAAAATTATAATATATTATTTTTTAAGGTTTTTTTTCCCCGAAATAAAAACGTCTCTATTGTTGTACCGGACAGCCGGCTAAAACGACGAGGAATAATATTAATTTATTCACAGCGAGACAAAAAAAAACAAAAACAAAAACAAGAAATATCATCAAGATAATTTTGTGTAAAAATATTATTATAATATAGGTACGTATGTATATAAGTGTATATACGATACTCTTGACGGAAGTAACCCATTTAAAAAAATTGTTATTGTCGACTTTAATATTATTACCATTATTATTATTACTATTATTATTTTTATTATTATTAATATTATTTTCTTTTGTTATCCTGTACACGTTAAACAAATATGAGAATTTAATGTTTTGTAATGTTCATTTAGGATATGTTGATGAAAATTGTCGATTAGGTTATTCTTTAGGGAGGCAGTTTTTTGTTTTAAAATTTGATACGTCGAAAATAAATGCAAATGTAATGCAGTTATTTCAATAAATTTTATTTTATCATCATTTTGGAGATCTTAAAAACTAAAAAGACAGACATTCATCACATGAAGGATGGACCACTGTTGTAGATAAAACATTGAAATGGTAGGATATAGTGGATAATTAAATGTATGTTTATAATCAAAGCTAGCGGAATTCGGTTAATAGTATTACTCAATCAACAATATATTATATGTCATATTATAGTAAAACAAATGTATATTGAATAAAATGAATTACGCAGTAAACACATATTTTTTTGCATTTTTTTCCCTGTTACCTACCCGACGTGGTTTTGCGAAATAAAAAATGTCCGAACTCAGGTTTAGACTTGCGATCTCTGTGATGAAAACTGGTACGTACCTAGCACCACTAGACTAAGACAGACCTACTATAAAATCGACAATCTTGAGTTACTCATATTTAATGTAGCATATTATAATAACCACATCATATTAAAACTTCAAAAAGTTATAATTTCGAAATTAAGTCAGTCCGTTCAATTGTGACCTTATTATAGTTCTTAAATCGACAATATACACAATATGTTTAAAAAACCAATAACTAGGTATGTTCTTTATCATTTTTACTCAAAACATTCTTCATAATTTGATATCATAATTTCTTTGTAATTGAAATGCCTCTAAATAACTTATTTAATAAGTTTTCTGTCCAAATTTCACGTATAAACGAATATTTTTAAGCGAATCATTGCAAAAAAACTAAAATGACAGTAATAAAAGCAAAATAAATAAATATAATGATTTTCATAAATTTTCCCGTTTTTCTTATGTTCAATTCCGGGTTATCTCAGGTATTATTAAAACCGCTTGAAAAATCAAAAAATGGCCTCCTTAAAGTATCACCTAGAACAAATTTTGTTTCAAAAAAGGTACCACACTTACATATAAAAGCAAAATTAATGGTAGAAATTTTAATCACAGTATAAAAAAAAAATTAAACATCATTGTAAAACCAATATATTCTTCGCTACATTGAGAATCTAAAATGAAAAAGCAACTACTCAAATAATAATTTAGACAATTTGTCAAATAATTCATACATATTCGAAAAATCAATGTGTTAAATTTTCCAACGTTTATAAGGCCGTCTTTGTTTTGACATTATGGACCGATTTCGATAATTCACGGACCACCTAAATATGTTTTATACTTTTTTTTTTTTTTAAGAAAAAATGTTTTGATGGCCACCAAGTACGGATAGAGAACCACTGGTCTAAAATGTATTAAAAATAGGTGTGTTCCAACCACCTTAATTTCATATAATTATACTATTATAATAGTATAAACCGTGTAACTGTGAAGAAATAGATTATTTCGACTTTACATTACGGTTTGAAAATTTAACTGTTTTAATTTCGAAAAAGTCTTTCATTTACTAATATTAAAATAATAACAGTATGATTCCAATGTCCAGAATATATTAATTTTAAAATGACTATTAGTTCTGCAAACATACATTTGTTTTTTAATTAGAAATAATTCAATAAATAAGAGTGTAATAAATGAATTAATCGTAATAATATGCTTTTTTTTCAGTTGTGAGTATAGTGAAAAGTTATTAGTTATCGTTAGTAAAAATTCTCTGATTGTTTGATGGTATTCCTCTAGACATACGGATTTTTTCGCCCGATAGCAACGGTACGTATAATTTGACAATTTGTTTTGAAATTTTCAGCAGTTCACCGGTAAAGATTTCATTTCTGTTTTTTTATATCATAATCTTTTAATTTTTTTTTCAAAATATATGTAGTTCACGTATATCATCGCTACTATACAATATTTACTGTTCTTTTGATTGGGAAAATTGTTAAGGTGTATAGTAAATACCGCGGATCTATTGTTTATTTCGTCTTTTGTGTTTCACGTACAAAAATATAATAGAATACTTTTAGATTCCGAGCATAACGAGGGAGATATTGGTTTTACTAAAATATTTATTTCTTTTTTTTTTTTTCTAGATTGTGGACACGTTTTTTTCTAGTAATTTACTACGATCTTTAAATATAGCATTTTTTCTGAATGCTCGAGTTGTCTAAATAGTACTTTAATGAGGTAATTTTTTAATTTTCAATGCCATTTTTTAAATAAAATCACTTAAGTGAGAAAAAGGTAGGAAAACGTACAATTTCACGATTTTATTATTTTAAAAAAATATAAAATTATAAAAACGGACTACGAAAACTGATTTAATCGAAAAATCACAAGATATCTTTTTTGTGGAATTTTTAATTTACTTTCTTACGGTACTTTTGCCAAAAATGTTGAGCCTCTTTTGAGCTTTTAAGAAATTTTATTGTTTGGTATTTTTTTTGCTGTAATTCGGTTTTGAATACACATAGATACTTGAAACTTGGTAATAATAATAATATTTGAATTACCTAGACATGGTAAAGTATCCAGAATCATCGGACTACTTTTTTTTTTTTTACCAAGCGTTTTGAAATCAAATTTAAATAATCGCAAAAATATTACAGTTCTTAAAATTATGTATTGCCGAACTACGCCCGTCGCTCGGAATTGTCTTTCATCTAACAATAGTTTATCGTCGCTTCCAGATATAAATGAAATAACCTTATATATCTTACTTTCCCACTTCTTACATACAACAGAGGTCACACCCGTCCTTAGTATCAGCTTTTTTTTTTAAAATTTATATTTTTTGATGGGATGAAGTTATACCAATGTGTATTATACCAATTATATTATGTTTGTTTACATTTTATTTTTAAAAACTTTTGACATTTTTGGAATATGCTAATATTATATATTGTGTAAAGGTGTTTTTCTAACTATAAAACAAGTTTAAATCTATAAAGTTTGGAATATCTATTAAAATATTTTGTGTAGGTTCTATTATGGATATGAAGAAACAAAATTGAATAAAAACAAAAAAAAAAAACTTTCGCACTCATCTATTTTTTTTTCACCGTATAAACTTATTCGTGGTATGAGTTAATTAATTCATTTCTTGTTTTTATTTTTTTTATTTCGGTCAAGCATAATTATCTAGATCAGTGTTTTCCAACCTTTTTTTTTATCAACGCCTCTTTCAGATTTTTAAAAACTCACGCCCCCCTCCCTCTAATAAATTATTTAATTTTTATAATCAGTTATTTGATTAAATTGTTAATAAATATTTTCTTTGCATTTTGTATTCTGACATTTTATTATTATGATAATAAGTATAACTAAAATATACGCACAATAAATTATAACTTCATGTAATAAACAGAAATTATAGTAACATAATTAACATAATTAGTAGATAATTATTATCGGGAATATCTGTATAAAAATTGGATTAAACGAAACTTATCAGCATCGATAATATAATATAATACCTTGTTTATTACAATTTCGCTGTTATTGTAGTGTGTTTAAAATATTAAATAATAATTATTTAAATAATTTTTTATTGTACACAGATGTACATTTTATTGCAATAAGTTATGAATTTGCTATTAATATTTGAATAATAATATAATTGCTTTTAATTGTAGTGAATTATTTTTATAATGAAAGTGACAGTAGAATCGCCCCCCCTCTTTAGCGCCTCCTTACGTAAAAAGCCTTCCTCAAAATTAAAAAAGCCTACAAGGACGTTGAGAATCACTCATGTGAATGATCCAGCAAGACTGCACGATAGCTGTATCACCATCACCGGTTTATATATTTTTTAATAACAAAATGTATACAAAGTGTAATATACGGGATAACTGTGGACGAATTTTTTTTTACTCTTGACGTGCTCGTAAACTATTACTTAAAAAAAAAAAAACCTATTAAATAATATCTATTACGAATGTGTAAACGATCGTCTATATTACTATTATCGTATCTGGAGCGAGACGCATAAATGTTTATTGGGTATTTCGTGTAGGTATATCGCATACCAGAGCTTATTATTAATATTTTTATTTTATTCATGTACTCGTATATAATATTTACTTCCAGAAATGTGTGCACGTCACGCATTGAGTTATTTATTTCGATCATACGTACTCCTGTTGGCTAACATACCGTAATCTTATTCTGAACTTCTAGAGGAGAATCGTTTCGAAGATAAAATGTTATCCAGTAGGTGCGTAAGTAGACCATTATTTTAATTTGCATTTATATTTTCTTCATAATTGAAAAACAACGTGGGAAAAATAGCTTTTTTAAGACGTGCTAAAATTTTCAAAACATTCTGGTGATTTTTTAATAATTTATAAGTATTTAACATTATCAAATTTTTTGGTTTTTATTTGGTTTGATGTGAATAAAATTGTGTTGGCAAAACAGAAATGTTTGAACATTTTACACGAAATTTAATTTATATTCAAAAATGATTGAAAATGAGCGTTATAATATATTTGTTCACACAGGTCTTAAGTTCTTATTTTGACAGTAGCATCTACATGTTAAAAATATGCAAAAAAAAAAGAATAAAATAGGAAAAGTATTGTTAAAAAAAAAAAAACTACTTTAAACATATCAAAATAAGCAAAAAAAAAAAAAAAACACCTTTTAATTTTATATTTTAACGAATTTATTGTACCGTGGTATAGGTATTAATTTTCAAAGCACTTTTAGATTTAATACCATAGAAAAACATATTGTTAATTTTAAATCACCCTCGTCGCGTTTTTTTTTTCCGAAAAATATAGACGGATTGATAAACCGTCGATTCAATCGTCTAAAGTGAAAATTAAAAACGGTGATAAACCATTTTAAAAATAAAAAAAACAAAACAATAATTGAATAATAATAAAATGGATTTGATTAATGACTCGCGCGCAGTTTACGCCGCAAACACTTATAACACAACCCATCGCGTCTTTTCTTTTAAAACGATATATTTTTCTTAGAAAAAAAAAAAACAATAATAATACAATAGGTTATGTAACAATCATAGTATAAAAATAATAATAATAATAAAAAACATATTTTTTTCGTACTCGTATTTTGAATATTTCGATGTGCGGAACTGCGAAGATTTCAAGTCGTATAGAAACGATTTTGAACAGTACTGTAACGCTTCTCGAATCTGAATATAAAAATCTGTTATTCGTACAATATCGTCAAAGCCTATAGGTATTATAGTTATGTCTATAAAGTGAAAAAAAAAATATACGTTTTTGACGTTAAATTTACCGCGAACGTATCGAGTCGAATTCCTGGCAACGGAATCGATCCGTAATATTCGAAATACCTATATGAATACTGTAAATAAAAAAAATGAAAAGTTAATATGTTTTCGATTTTATTCTTACGCGCGTACGTAGAACGACGGTCCACGTGTATTTTTTTGACTTTTTTTAAAAACAGGAGAAAATAATATACGACGCTGAATCCTGAACGTATATTCACATTTTCTTCATCTCTTGGCCTACACCACGCGATCGGAGTAAGCTATCCTTGTTCTCCACGTTTGTTTATTTGTCCATCATTGTACAATTTTCTTGTATTTTTTTTCCACTTGCCTTAATTTCCCATTCCTCTGGCCGTTTTTTCTCAAGATCGAGAGAATAAAAACAAACAGAAGAAAATTTAGTGGAAAACAAATAAATCTAGAAATAATATATTTATATAAATATAATAATACCGAAACATAATAATCTGCACGCGTTATTTTTTTTTTAAATGAAAACTTACCATATTTAAATTTCTTTCAACACTTCTTGACTATCCCACTTCACAACTTCTTTGCTTCTCTAGTACATCGCGTGATAGAAAAGACGCATTTTGGAAAAGTGGTTGTAGGATGACTTTTGAGGAACATATTGTTTTCCTGTATGATAAAATTGGCCCAGATAAGTTATTGGATGACCTAAAGTAAAAGCACCACGAGTTTTTAATGTAAACAAGACACGCTAGTAACATATTTTTATATATAAAAGAATTGTTTTTATCAAACTTTGACGAAAATTAAAAATATTACTTTACAGCATTTTAAAACATGTATAACCGAACTTCGTTCAGAATGTTATTTCGTTAATAATGACTTATCGTTGCATATATGTGTAAATTAAATAATTTTATGTGTCCTACTTTCCCAACTTTCTAATTTTCCTCACAAATCAATAAGCCCAAAGAAATACGATTTGTGTCGTCACAAATCGTCATCGAGTTGAGGTAGATGGGCGGTTTTAGTACAGGAGACGGATTTTCACACTTGTTAACTATTTCGTAAGATACGCGCGTTTCCAGTGTGTAAGATCATCCCGTTAAACTCGTTTCAAACATTTTTTGAACGAGTTGTCGCGTTCATAGTCGTAAAAGTGCAGTGTATATTTAAAATTGTTTATACACTCAGAAACACGTGATGCGGAATAAAAATTAAAGTATTCGCGCGCGAAACTCCATTAATTCACTCGTCGATTGACATTTTCTGAGGAGAGTACGAAAATATTTATATAATAATAATTTTTCCATGACGGTTTCGCACTATATTAATCACGCGGTCATTAATTATTATTATAGTGATACTACGAGATAGCTGATATTAATTGTTTTTTTTTTTTTATTTTTTTTTTTTTACTTCGTTTTGCTCGTCCGTTGTTTTATAATACTTGTACACAACCTCTAGAATAATTATGATTAATTCTGTTGGTAAAAAAATTTTTTTTTTCAAATTCAAACGAACGCGCGGTAATTGTGAGCATTTATTTTACGCATTTATCGAAATCGACAATAATATACAAGCCCGACGGTCTTCGACCGATGGGGTTGTAACCTGATTTCTGTAAGTCACCATTCAATAATTATCATACAAAAAATAATATATTGTGCAAATTAGTGTTTAGATGATTTGCTTTTGACTGAATGTTTCAATGAAATAATAAATTCAAATTACGTTGTATAAAACAACGCGTAATTATAATATACATTAATCAGCTAGAAAATTAAACTTTTTCTTTTTTTTGAATCGTCACTACAAAATTGATAATTGAATAAATGGGTCACAACTCGCGAGTCAAAAAAAGGTCAAAAACGTTTGATGTAAATAGAAACATGGTGGACGTTTTATAAAGACACGTCAACGGCGTCAGTTTAAAAAAAAAACCCATCGACAAGGAGGACAACATTATGCGTTATGCATAATGTATTAAAGTATTTATAATAATTAATAGTAATGATAATCATAATGACGCGTTGAGAGTTTAATTTTATTTCGTGTTAGAATTAGTCTTAAACAATTGTATTTGAGTATTATTTTACGAGACGGAACGCGCTAAAGTTACACTTGGTAAACTGATGGTATAACGAATGTAAATAATTGAAAAGCAGTTTTCTGTTTTTTTAGTAACAAATTAGTTACCTATGTCATCAATGGTCTTTGATTTACAAATGACACGATTACAAAGAGCTATTCAATGTTTCATTTGATTTTTAAATATCGGTTATATTTTTGTACAAATGAGTGCGATTCATAATCTAGCACTTTTCAATAGTAATTTCAATATCCATTGCAAATTAATCACTCGATATACACGAGGAATATTTTTTTGAAAGTATATTATATTCATGAGTCATGACAATAAAAAAAAAAAAAAAAAACCGCACTAAAATATTCACACTGCATCATAAAATATAATTTGGTTCTCAGTACCGTAAAAATAATATATTATAAAACAATATTATTAGGTAGTCAACTGTATGACAAGAGTATTTCCATAAGATATAAGAACTCACAATTTATGTATTAAAAGGTAAAACCGTCTTTGATTGACCCGTGGAAATTTTGTAATGAAATATTTGTTTTGGCCATGAATTATTTATGATGTATAGAACAATAATTTGTGATTAATTTCAAATATTTGTTATATTATCGTATAATTAATGACGTGAACGAAAATATTTTATGGGCCAATCAATAAAATATTCCCGAAATATTCACCAAACTTTAGATTTACACGCGAACTATCGTTATGGTTTTACACAATGACATATTATTTATAGGTTACCATTTTTTCAATTAATTTACATACTATATAAATTAAGAATTTATAAAATATTATAAAACATCAGATATCATTGTTATTATTTTCGGTGGAATGGTTGTTTTATAATAATTATTTCGATTGCAACGTTTGTGTCCCTAGAATATTTCATACTGATTTTAGATTAAAAAAAGATATATACGTTAATTTAAATTTGAAAAAAAAAACGTAAATACACGAAACAAGTGTTGATTGACCGGGGGCTGAAAAACAAAAACTTTATTGATTATCGTACCTACGTTCAAATGACGGAATAGAGATACGTATTCGATTCGTTTTTTATGAAACATAATGTATCTACCTGTTTTTTTGGTCCTGCGAAAATTTAATTTTCCTGAATCTTTTTTTTTTCGCACATTTAAACAATTATTTATATGAACACGTTTGAATACCCAGACGTATACCTACTGTTCTGCCTATTGAAGTTGATAAACTTCTTTATTAAGGTGTCCTCCGAAATTCAGCGATAACAGATCAAAATGATAACATACATATTTTCAATACTCAACAGTATTTACTCTTGGATCTAGTTCAGAAATAGTTCCAGTATTCGAGTTTAACGATTTTTATGATTTACATTTCTTATTAGTTCTTATTTGTCGTGATTTAAATTTTTCCTATGAGTAAGGTACTCACAAAGTAATATCTTACTTAATAGAAAAATTGTAACAACAATGATCCAATTATTATTATACTTAGTTTTTCCTTGTCTGTCCTTGTCTTTCCCCGTAGCTCCCCGTTTACACCCCTTGCCCATTATTTAATCATTGTCTCCGATAATTTTTTTTTAAAGGTAGTATTTTATTGTTTTTTCCATCCATATCACCAATTGTAGATAAAATAATAATCAACCAAATTAATTTAGTCTTTGTGCCAAAAGTAATAAAAAAACTCCGTGTGAGCCACCCTTTAAAAGTTTAATTGAGGAAATTCTCTATGTATTTTTTTAGACCTTTGTATGGCCGTACATCACGCATATACAAATAAAAAAAAATAGACAATTATTTTTATTAATAAAGATTCTGCGATATGACTGTTGGTTAGCTTTACCTAAAGTGAAACCGAGAGCATCGTTATCGGCACATTATTATACGTATTTTACACTCTGTTAATTTATATTTTACATTATGTGATAATATACACGATAATATTCTATCCTATCAATGGTGTTCTTATTATTCCAATAATACCACGCGCATAAACGTATTATATTATGTTAATTTTTTTAGTAGTAGGCGTTTACCGTATTGAATAAATCGAAACAATATTCTGTAATATATTTTTTAAAGTGTATGTAATATTATAATAACTCTGTCGTGAAAAATATTTGAATTTAAATCGAATTTTATTTATTGATAAAAAAACTCGGTTTGAAGGGCGCATATATGAGTAATACGTACGGGCCATGAACATTTTTTTTTTTTTTTTATAGTTAACGAATATTTTATTTCCGACTCGATGTAAAACATATAATCGATTTTACCAAAATGAGTAGTTCTTCATATTATAGTGGCATAATACAGGTATAATAACACAGGGCGATTATTTCGTCACGGATCGCCATGATTATCTAAATTTCAAAATCACTATAAAATGTCGGTCGCGATTTGAATATTTAAAGGCAACAGTATATACATAGGTACTCGAATGTCCTTCATGTTGATGGTAGGTATACGAAATATGAATAGAATGGATCGACTGGAAAATAAATCTGAAAACAAATTTACACAATGTATTCGTGGTGCGCTCACAACCTCACACTTTAATTTTATATCCCCGTGAAAATTCGGAAATTTTAAAAATGCCGTAATGTGTGAAAATATATATATAGGTATTTAAATTTAAAAAAAAACCTGTTATTGCTGAGTGGGTTCACTATACCACAAGAACTCCATAATATACCATATTATGGTAATTCTTGTTTACAATTTTCGAGAAGATAAACAATATTTGGTGTCTTATAAAACTAAAGAAAAATTAAAAAAGACGGACATACTTCGCACGTGTGTGGAACACTGTTATAGGTTAAAAGTTAGAAACGTAGATCTTACGAAAAACAATCCTGAGCAGAGTTCGATTAATAGTGTTGCTTTGTCAACAATATATATGTCACATTATGGTAAAATAATTACATATCTATGCATTATCATGGCTAAATAACTAGGTATGTCAGCAATACGTACAGCTTTGGTTGTATTGTTTCTTTCATGGAATAAAAACTGTAATTATGACATCAACTGCAAAGGATTTTCAAATTTAGGAATTGTGAGATATATCATATAGGTCCATAGACGTATAAATATATATATCATTTATATGTCTATGTTTTTGAAGAAAATTCTTTATTTTTCCTATTAAATTTATTATTGTATTTAAAAAATAATTAACAAACATATACTCATAGTAATCAACAAATAATATCTGAAATGTCAAATTACATGTTAAATTCCCGAACATTACATATTTTGTCTTTTAATGCCTTAGCTTTGTCACACAATACTTCATTTATATTAATTAATCTTATAAATGGCCTTGTCCTCACTAAACATAATATTATATCTATTGATATATTTACACTATTTTAGATTCTGGGTCAGCACCCAGAAGAAGCTTATGATTTTAAAAAGATATTTGTTTTTTTTTTTCTGTGGACAACTTTTCTACCAGCAATTTTGCTCCAATTTATAATAAAAGTAATGTTTCTAAAAGGAAATTTGACTGGGGAGATACTTTTGGGTATTTTTAATTAAGAATAATTGATAATAACTAAACAAGTTAGTTATTATCATTGTGTACATTTTCCTGTTTTTCTAAGTTTTGTCACAATTATATATATATATATATATATATAAAAAAACTGCAGTAATAAGAACTACGATTAGAGGCGCATACATAGAGAGGAAAATTTGAGAGTTGATTCCCTCCTATTACTTTATTTACTTATATGTATACATCAATGTGTGTAAATTTAAAAAAAATACTTAATCCCAGGGGAAATCGTTTGCCACCGATCCTTCCACATCTCAATACAAAATTTACGTGTAAACCACTGGCTACGGTAGTAAAGTATTACATCTCGGCACTTAATCTGAGAGTTTACTGGGCTAGTGTAGATCGATTTGAGTACATCATAATTTATAATATTATATAGGACCGTTATGTATTCACCGCGATAATCCGTTTCGAATATTTTCCGAAATATCAAACAAAATCACGCCCGTGGTACTCACACAAAACTTTTTTTAAAAATATTATAATATTATGAACTTGCGCCGTTCGCCGTCTTTAATTGGTCGTCGACACAGTATTTGGCGATTATTTCTAGCCAAAAAGCCAATAGTTCAGTGGATTTTGTATATTATTATAATTTATGGTACCTACCTATATATACAGGGTCTTTCAAATCGCAGTCAAATATTCCAAAAATTACTTATATTTACAATGAGTTGTTTATTTAAAAATGGTTTATATTTATACATTTAAAAATGTTATATTGTCCTAATATTTTTATTATTATTTTCAGGGGCGAATTGGCTATTCACTTCTAATTATCAAATAGCAACCTATACTAAAGAATCTATACGTAGACATAGTATTAGCTTAAATACATTTTGGTTTTGACATTTTTGATTTCCGTCAAACCGTTATCGAGATATTCCACGTTTAAGTTTAAGTAGGGAAGATAACGGAGCACTATTCAAACCCCGTGCACTGTGCCGTCATATCAATGACGTTCCACTACTCTCTAGTAAATATTACATGGAAAATTTAACTATAACACGAAATTTCGAAGACCTTGGTAATTAAAATGTAAATGCGCGTCACATTGACCACGGTAACGTGATGTTGTTCGGTCGCCCGTGATCGATTTCGGCCGTTAAAATATACCGAGCGATGTGTACGAAGAATAATCTCACGCTGTACTGATAGACTTATTGTAAGTCGATGCATCGGGGAAAGTAAACAGTTTCGCATGTCCATTCTCACCACCGCCGTTGCCATTCAATTTACATAGTAATAATAATGTTAATGCGTATAACGAATTAAAACCCACGCGTAGGTACCTACCTGCGGTAGCGTCAACGGCCGATATTATATTATTGTTAGTTTTCGGATGTTCTTTTGGTACAATGCTATAAAGATTTCTCAAAAACAAAAAAAAAAAAAACTTAAAACAATGTAAAGAAACATCTGAAAAAAAAGCGAACAATCCAAGAGAAACAAACCTCTACCTAATATATAAATTTCATTAACGGGGACGGTCGTGGACGACGATAAAAGACAGTTGAAAAATTTTCAGAACGTAATTTTATAAAAATAAAAAATATATGTATACAAATAATAAATAGATTGTGAGATAAAATCGATTTAATGTACATTTTTGAACATTTCCTTGGGGTGGTTCTTTGAGGAGGTCATTTTTCGATTTTCATTGACAAAATTATTATAAAAAAAATATCTAATTTACGATGAATGATAAAACTATAATAATTAATGAACATTATTTATTGAAATATATTATTACACAGTATATATATTATATTTGGTATATTAGTGTAAGCAATTGATAAATAAATTAGCTGAGATATATAATCGAATTTTCCAGATAAATCTTTGTAAATCGTAATTTAAATATGAGAAATGGAAGGCAAAATATTTAATTTAGATTAGTATAAAGTTGACGAGATAAATTATTAGGTTAGACCACATAACCGTTCTGTTATCCAGACGTATACCAAGTCTGGTACTACTACTACTACTTCTATTATCTGCTACTATTAAATCGTGTACTACTATTAACAACTTCAGTGTTTTTATATTTAAAACAAAACCTTTATTTTTTATTTAGAAAATAATAAATATTCTTTCTGAATTTTATTTTTATTTAGATAATTTTAATTGTTATGTATCTTTTATGCTCATCTAGATAATTATTTTATGATGATCGCTTCTTATCAAGATTTTGATATATTAAGATTTATCTTTATACAACACTGCGGATCGCGGCCCACAGTTCAGGAAACTCGACAGTGTAATGCGTAAAGAGTATAGGTGCATGCACACTACGCCGCACGTCTATACATCAGGGACGAGCATTCTTTGTACTTAAGACGGAGCGAGATTCACGTTACGGTGGCAGTGCTCCACGTCATAAATATCTATAGATTATAGATATGAATGTGTGTAATAATAATACGAAAGTAATAAACCTCAGTACAATATCGCCCACGCAAAACTCGTACAACGGGTATAAATAAATACGGATTTTGGGATAAACGCGCGGTGTATATAAAAGGGAAACGCGCGTGTGGTTTCGGGATACCTAACCACCTCGCAAAATAATACCTATTTTGTACATAGAGTAACGCTTGAAACTTTTCCGAAAACTTGTATACACCGACGTCGTCGTTGGCCGCAATGAATTATTACCGACGGCGTATAGGCTAGGTGAACGTATCTTACAATAATGATCAGTTTTTCGTAGTGTTTAGGAAATAAAAATGTTGCCATGAATATGACTCTGTATTTGGAAACTATATAAAAAACAGCTTATGAACTGTTGAACATTGAAACTAATACGATTAATACACTCAAAATTGGACAGGGGATTGGACGTTCGACAAAATCAACGAATTTAAATACAGTCTGTGAAGAAATGAATGTCAGCAGATTTTATTTTACACAATATATTACAGTTCTAAAATTGTTTGAAAATTTGTCCAGCATTTTCAAGGATTTTCAGGTTTCAGAAATGGTGGCAACCATAAAACCATTTCATACGGTTTTCATCGATTATGAATATATTCAACATTGTATTTAGAACTGAGACAAAAGGCATGTAAAAAAGAAAAAACCATAGTAACCTATTTAATATTAATAAATACTTTTACGCAACGATAAATCATTGTTGACGAAATACGATTCTTAGTGAAGTTCGGTTAAACATTTTTCAAATGCGTAAAAATTACGGATTTTCGTCAAAGTTGAACTTAAAACGTTTATAAAAACTTCTAAATTAAGTAAAACTTATTTTTTTTATCACTAAATACAACTTGAATGAAATGAAGTTAAATGAAGTGTTAAGTTATTAAACACTTCTTGTTTGTCTAAACAATTTTGTCCACAAAAAATAAAAAATTAAATGTAAATTGTTCACAAATCGCTAGAATGTTTTGTAAATTTTACCACGTCTCAAAAAGACTAATCTAAATATGCCATGAACATTTTCACACAAGGTTACAATAAAAAACGAAAATAGAAAATAAAACCACCATTTTCCCAATTTGTCCCTATTATTCATAAAACTTTTTAAATATCAAAAATTAAATCCCTCGATGAATTAATTAGATACAAAATGCTACTAGAAAGCTTTATTCATTTTTTTAATTATTTTCATTTATACAGCTGTTTACAGACAAAAAAATAAACACATCATCGTAAAACCAAAACGTTCCTGTGTGCACTCAAAATCTAAAAAAAATGGTGATAACCGCTTCCTTTAAGGCCACAACTATACGAGAGCGTGATATTAGATTTTCAATAATATATCGACTCCCTTGTGTGGACTTTATTTTTTTTTTGAAGTTTAAAATCGATCTTCTTCGTTTATTTCTTATACCGTTCGAAAGAATCAACAATCGGCATTTTAAATATAAAAAGGACTATTAAAAACCGTATAAGTATAAAGTGATATTATCATAAAAACTACTAGGTAATTACGGGGTAAAAAGTTTTACAAACACTCAAAAATTTATTCAGAGAAATAATATTATGATATATATACAGTCTGGAACGTGTGGTGAAAACATAAATCCTCTGAATTTTACCTATTTATTTATTATAAAATAATAATATATATATATATATTGTATCGTTTTTTCGTTTTGACATGTCGCAGTTCTGGTGAAAAGTGTGTTAAAATCACGTTAAGTGTACGTTATCAATAATGGTCAAACGGTAAATTTGAATTTTTTTTTAAATTATTTTTAATAGATATATTGTAAAGATTATCTTAGATTGTTAATTGCGTATTGTGGAAAAAATAACCTTTAGTTAAACAGTTTGACACTAAATTGCATAAGGATTTCCTTAATAAAGCCACACAATATATTAAAAAACTATTACAATTTATTTTTTTTTTTTAAACATTTGACCATTTCTAAGAATGTTTTAGGAAGATTTGAAACAGATTTCAAAATAAACTTTATTAAATTGTTTTTAATCAAAAAGCCATAATTTCGAAACTTAGTCAATTCACTCAATTCTGATTTCATCATCATTCTTAAATCGTCAACAACATATGTATCAAAAAAAAAATTAAAAATTTAGATTTGTTCCACATCATGGTTTATACAACGATTTTTGTCAAAATTTGATACTAAATTTCCTTTATAAAAAATAAAAATAATACATTAAACTCAAATTTTCTTTTTCTAACCACAAAGTAAGACTCTTTTTGAACCTCTTGTCAAATTTTCAAGAATTTCTTTTAAATCTAACAATTTTACCACAGAGTATTTACCGAATAAAAATTACGTACAAAACTCGCAAAATTAAAATGTCTACAAATAGCTTAAAAGTGGCAAATAATTTTCGAAAATTTTAGCATGTCTGGAAAAGATATCTGTCAAAATTTCAAGTCTTTACAAAAGTTTTTATATAAAATACAACAAATAATAAAATTGATAAAATAATAAAAGGATTAATTTAGTATATTTTCCGTTTTTTTTTTTACGTTTTATCCTGGTTTTTCCCAGATATTATGAAAACCACTTGGAAAATCAAAAAGTACCACCCAAAAGTACAATCTGTATACAATTTTTTTTCAGAAATGGTGCCGCACATTTATCCGAGCAAGATTTATAGTAGACTTTTTAGTATAAAATAAAAAGAAAAAATCAAAAACATCTTAGTAAAACTAATACATTTTTCGCTACACTCAGAATCTAAAAAAATACCATAGCAATTTCAATGTGTACCTCTCAATCTTTAATTTGTTATGCTGAAGAAAATAATAATCAATTAAAAATAATAGGTATATCAACCGTAATTATGACAGAGGGTTATATTTACAAAAAGTGACAGCAAATTTCTTACCGTATTATCTTAAAAAAAGCTCTTAAATTAATAACAAAGATAGACTTAATCATGACAATGCTAAATGGATCCGAAGTAAGTGTCAAATAATTGTATTAAACTCCTTAACAACATTGTGAATGCACGAGTTGACGGCACAAGTATTGCTGTTAAAAATGATGTACCTGCAGCTTACGTATTAGTTGTTTTTTAAATATATTTCTGAAGATACTTATTTTTTTTTAGAAAATTAGAAAACACAAATTTTATAAAAAATAGCAAATACGTTGCATTTAGTACAGTTCAGTTGTAAAGACAATACAACAGTGAGTCTCGATAGGATAACGATTTAAATATTAAAATATATTATTTAACTTATAGCCGATTCTCTAGTTTCTATTTATAACTTGAGTAGATATACAACAAAGGATGTTTATAAGTAATCTTAAATTATCAGCGAAAAAACGGCTTACAAAAGCTGGGGTTTATAAATATATGAATAATTATAGGCTTATATTCTTGCTTAGTAATTTTTAATTAATTGAAGAATCATAAATTAAGATTAATTCGTTTCCAGAGGAAAACGAACATTTATCTAAAAATCAATATGGTTGTAGACTTGGTAGGTAAATTGAACATTTCCTTTTTGGTATGACACGATTTATCTATAATGAACTAAAAAACAGTAGCAAAGTGTTCTTGAACTAAAGCTTTTTATTCTGGGAATTACAATATTTCATTAAAGATATTACAATTTCGGAATTTATGATTAATGTTTAAATTGGTTTGAAAATTACCTAATAAATGGGAAACGTTTGGCTGAAATAAATGGCATAATACATCAAGAAATTATGGTTGAATATGGTCTCTCAAGGAAGTTTACTGAGTCATATTTTTATTTTGAAATTTTTTTTTTCAAACAGGAAAAGGGTTCAAAGAATGCCTGGCAAACGGTACGTGGTACAGACATCCGGATTCAGGAATTGAGTGGGCGAATTACACCAATTGCGTCGATATGGAAGACTATGAGGTACGTAAATATATTTTTTAGATTACATAATATTATATAAATCAAGTGGCTATCACGGAAAATTAATAAATTGGAATGATATACAAACACCTAGGTACCTATAAATATGGCGTCTCTTTTCAAAATGAAATAAAAGATTATCAAGTGATGAACAGGGTTTTGGATTCATCACGCATCATAAAGAGATTTAAAATCATCGTAAAAAGCGTTTAAAATTTTAATTTTAAAAAAAATGTATAGAGGTAATGTCAATAGGTGTAGCATTGTTGTGTATGAGAAGTTGGAAAGACACATACAATTATTTAATTTTCGTCTGTACATAACGATAAATTATTACTGATGAAATTAGATTTTGAGCAAACAGTTTAGTTAAACATGTTTTTAAATATCGTAATTTTTAAGGTTTTCGTCAAAATTTTAATATTAAACGCACACGACCAAAACTACGACATTACACTTAATTTAGAAAACAAAAAGTCCATTCAGATAAAACCAAAAAATAAAATTTTCAAATAAATAGCTATAAATATAGCTTAAAAATCGCAAACATATGTTTTCAAATTTTACTATGTATATAAATAGGCCAATATCATTTTAAAATTGCAGTTATTTACGATGATTTTTTTTTTTATCAATTTACAGCAAAAAATTAAAAATAATGGAACCGTATATAATTATCATAATTTTCCTGTTTTTCCTTCATTTATTTCTAGTTTTTTTTTCCAATTACTAAGGAAACTACATGAAATATTAAAAACTTTCTATTTCTTATTCACCAATTAAACAATATTTTATTTCAGAAAATATGCTACTTTTCTAATTTGTAGTAAGATTATTGGTAGAAAACAAAAATTCGAAAAAGTTTAAAATAATGCAATTTTTAATGCCGTAAATATTTGTCAGTTTTTTATATGTACATTTATACTGGTTTTCTCAAATATTATGAAAACCACTCGGAAAATCAAAAAATGATCTTATTAATGCACCAATTAAATCAAAAATTCAAAAAAATGCATGTTGTTTTTTTTTTAAATTGAACAAGTTTTCTGGTATAAAAGTTGATTTCAAACAGAATAAAAAATTACAAACGTCATATTAAAACTATTATATCCATGCTATACGATCAGAATCTTTAATCCGATTTAACATTGTTCACTTCCGTCTGCAATTTTTCGTTTAAGTAATAAAAACTACAAAACAGAAAAAATGTAAAAAAATAGAACATACAAATGCCTCTACAATTATAGTAAAAACTTTTTTATAATTTTATAAAAACCACACACTAATAAAATCGATCTTGTATCTGGCATAAATTGCACAAAATTACTAGAATGTTATAAACCGAAAATAATATACAAGCAAATAGTATAAAAATCCCAAACCCTACGTGCGATGAACATATTATAGATAATTTTAATATTTTGTTGTCCCTATAGTTTTATCATTCAGTCATGGTTTTATTTTTTTTTTCAGTTCAGAAACCTGATTAATTCGCTGTACATCGTTGGCTATTCCGTGTCGTTAGCCGCCCTGCTCACGTCGTTGCTGATTTTCTTCACGTTCAGGTAAGTTTCAACAAATTTTTCATCGGCCACTGTGATAAGAGGAGAGAGGAAGGGGTGGCGAGGTCGTCCTTTAACCACCTTTTCGAGTACCACAGCCTCCGGTTCAAAAACAAATCCTCAGACCATCGGTTCTTTCCCAACTATCAAAAACGTTTTTCCCCTCCACAATATTTCGTCAGGCGTTAATTTCGGCACATTTTCCCGATGGTGAAACGTGCCCGGAATGTGCTGTCCGCTGAAGATTATTTGGCCAGGCAAACCGATTCGATGACTCCGTGACGGCTACCGGCGAGACTCAGGATTTCGAGCACGACGCGCAAACAACACGCGTTTTATGTTATTATGAAATGAATGGAAAAAAAAAACCCCATATATTACCCAACTCATATATTATTATATTGAGTAGGCGAGATATCGGAACCAAACGAAAAAAATATATACCGACGGAACAATAAAACACAGCAGAGCTCCGTAACCAAAGTCGGATTTCCACCCATTCAACTTGTTGCTATTACAATATTTCATCTTTATATATATATATATATATTTATACATTTTTGTTCTAACGTGATATTGGATTATTTTGAACATTTGTAAGGGATTGAAATTTGAAACCCCTAAAGGTATAGCCTTGACACTAACGCCATGCATTTACAAAATATAATCCCTCTGGTTTAATTCGTTGAGTCTGTATGGACGTGAAAAACTAAAAAAAAAAAATCACCTTCCTCACGCCACTAAATGCGTTATAACTTGTTGATAAAGGCTGATGTCAAAAAAAAAAAAAAATTTCGAATTAGTAGTCATTGGTAGTTGAAACAGATAATTGTTTTTTTTTTAAAATACCAATACATAAATATTATAATACATATTATTATTATTACTTTTTTTTACATATATCGAAAATAAATATCGAAATAAATATTGACCCTTTTTGCACCAAGCCTAAGATTAGTATTAAATGAAAAATAATATAATACAGATCAGTATTTTTGGCAATTTTAATAACTTTGGTATAAATACACGAAAGGTGAGAATCACTTGTTGCCAATAGAATAATTATTATACGGTTGAACTTAAGAAGTAAAGGAATAAAGTTAAAAAAATTCTTGTTAGCCAGTAACATTACCTAATAAATAACAATAACAGCGTCGTAATAATAGTTTTTGTCTTAATTTATCGCTTTTGAAAAAAGGTTTTTTTTTCAATTATTTCATCCTTTTATAAGTAATGCATTTTACTATAATAATACAACGAAAATCGCGTATGAAGAAAAATAACAAAAGAAAAAAAAAATCTCAACAATTATTATTATAATTATCCCGTGACATAAATATTTAACAACGGTCGAATTACCACCTCGTTTTAATTTTCAAATTTGTGAGATGTCACACCTCACATTACCATGCAACCCTTATCTCTATCTCGGACACCAACTCGCAGGCAAATGATAATAAAATATAATTGCATATTTTTAAAATTATTATACGGTTTAAAATTATTCAATATTTACCTAATAACAGACTTATTTTTAGCTTCGTAATACACGATCGGTTTTCACCATTCCTAACTAAATGTGATATCGCATTGTCAAAAACAATAGAGGGGAGTTAATTGTATACGACGACGACGTGTATTATAGAATTCGTTTTAATTTGCATTTCTCATTTGGTTTTACCTAAAACCACAAACAATAATCAATTTTAAAATGACGGCGTGTACCCAATGTCACTGTCCGGGACGTTGGTAAGGTACCTATGTTTACTTTTAAACCCGTATTCTGAGTGTAATAAAACACCGAAAATCACCTTTACCTATTTTCATAGTATAAAGTTATTGATTATGAGTAAAAATATTCATGCGTGCATCAAAAACATACACCACAACGAGGCTCTAAAAACAAAATTACTAGATTTTGTTAAACGGAATAGTTTTAAATAATTTAAAATACTTCAATAAATACAGCATAAAATTAATTATTATGTTTTATTTTTTTATATACATACATTAATATAGTTTATAGGAAAAAAAATTGAATAAATGCACACAATGAGTGATAACGATGTAGGGCCCGGATTCAAAGCTTTAACAAAAATATAACCAACCAAAAATACCCTCTCAATTAAATGACTTTCGAAATAGAATTCCTTTAGTGACATGATGATGGGCTGTTATAAATGTAGAAAAAAAATGGAATTTATTACTCAATATACTCAATAAATGTATTCTATAATAGAAGAACGGAAGTTGATGAAGAGCATCCAATAGGAAAAAGGTAGCTGTAAAGACCTCATTTCATATTTGAAAATTATGTAAACAAAAAAATGTTAAATAAGTCGATCTAAAAGAACAATTATTGGAAAGAGACAGCCGCAAAACAGGAATGGTTGAAAACATATTTGTTCAATGGGATAGTTTTAAAGGCCCGAAAAAAAATAGAATAAATAAAACTAATAATAATAATTTGTTTTTCGTCGGTGTTTTTGCAGGAGTCTGAAATGCACCAGGATCGCCATACATTTACACTTGTTTATATCGCTGGCGCTTAACAATCTCTCGTGGATTATCTGGTACAAAACCGTTGTAGAAGACCTGTCTATCATCCAAGAAAACGGGGTAAGTCATCAAAAGCATAAAAAATCGTATAAAATATGTACCACTATAACATCGTCCTTTACTTACCATAAATTCCATTTAGAGCAATTACTCAATTTAACCATTCGTCGTAATAAATCTTTAATCATAAATATTTTAATACTATAAAAAACCAAAAACCAAAAAAAAAATAAAAAACCTCGTCCAAGACAAAAAACTGCTGAAGCAGCTGTTGTTCATTCAGAACGTAAAAAAAAATAAAATATTATAATAACACTGCGTTAAATTTTGACGCGACGTGAATAAATTGAAATATTTTTTAATTTGCGATAGAGCTTTAGTAGTTTAAGTTTAGGTACCAACAAAAGAAAAAAAAAAGAAATGTATTTTTCAAAGTGGAAAACAAATTATAGTGAAACACGGTGTTCATTTGATGAGTCATGAATTATTGAATTGTTGAGATAATTAATTGGAAGTTTGAGTTAGTAGTTACAAGATCGAATTTGTATAATTTTTTGGATTTACAAATACAAATAGTGTATTCCTTTTTGTATCTTTGAAAACTATCAGTTGTCACACGTTCACGCGTTAAGTTTCCAAAAAATATCTTGTTACTTACACGTCAGAAATACTTCCTGTTAGAGATATAAGTTATTTTTATAAAAATCACAGTACGCTTTAATCCCAAAAATTAAATTAATTCAATAATAATATCGATAATTTTTTCGGATTTGTACCTGATATAATTCAATACATAAACAATTACGGGGGAATTGGTGTGATAGGCTTTTATCATCAATAAAGGATAAACGAATTTACATTTTGTATGCATTTTTTTTATATAACTACGTACTAAACCTACAGGTTTACATAAATTTCTCGATAAAATTATAGTTGTTCACTTTTAGAGGTTTTCGCGTGTTTATCTCTCGAGCAAGTGTTTTTTTTTTCCTGTAGCCTGTAGAAAAAAATATGCCAATAAAAAAGGGTCCACGTAAAAAATACACAAAAATAATCCCGAAATCCATTAATCACACTTACTAAATACGCCACGCCTTGCGTTCGGGAACGAATAAATTACAATTTCTAACGACTCTGAATGAATTAAGCCACAAAAATGTCAATTCAAACACACACACACACACCCACGACATATTATTGTTATTATTATTATATAGGTAGGCATACATAATATATGCTGACTTACGAGCTATACCTATATAGTATATACTGTATACGAGTATATGGAGTGAATAATGGCTTTCTTATATTACTGCGTATGTGTGTGTGTGCGTGTGTGTGTGTGTGTGTGTGTGTGTGTATGTGTTTGTGTATACGTCACTAATATACGTTTGGGTGGAAAAACCATCGATTTTCAAAAAAAAAAAAAAAAAAATATGTACTTATAGTCGATATAACAGAAAATTAATGTTATCTAAGTAATCGTATAAGACTATAGGTTTTCGTTATCCGTAGTTTTTAAAAAAAAAAAATACGACGACGTTCTATCTGTAAAAAAGTAATATTGTCCGCGAAAATATGAAGGGTCTAGACGTCCTCACCTAAGCTAGACTAACGATTCAAATTTTATTTTAATATACCATACCTATCGCCATAATGAAAACTCATTAAAAATGCTAGTTTATAAAGGAAAACAAAACGATTTTGAGCGGAGTTCGGTTAACACATTTTTTAATAAATTAAAATTAAACATTAAACGAATTTTCAATTATAATCAGTTACTTATTCGAAATCAAAAAAAAAAAAAAAAAAATTAAATAACGAAATGCGACAGAAAACAGATAATTTTTTCGGCCGTCCCATTTTTTTGGTTTGGAAAACTTTTTTAACAGAAATCTTGCGCCGATTTTTAAGTGTAGCACCTTTTCTGAAAAGTAATTGGATTATAGAGGTACCTCAAGGAGGTAAATTTTCGATTATGAAAAAACGACATCTGTACTCACCACTTATACAATAATTTTCTTTTAAAAAAAATGCTTTCTCGTCTTGAAATTCGGAGTTAGATTTCCTACAGAAAAAAAAAAATAAACAAAATCGTTAACACCGTAAGTTTATCTTTTTAGCTTTTATATTTTTCCGGTTTTCCCAATTTTTTATGAAAACTACTTTAAAGATCAAAAAATAGTATCCCAGTATATTAACACTACCAACTATAATAAACAAAATTCATCAATATAAAAAAAATCAAAGGACATTTTTTGATTGGATTAATATTTCTGGTAAAAAAATGGCTTACAGACATACAATTTAAAAATAAAAAATCACTGAATTCAAAATTAAAATGACTACAATTTCGATACGTTTAACATACCTATTGGTTTAATAATTTTTAATTCCCAACTAAAAGTCCTTAGGTATAAAACAATTAACTCACCGTCTGATTGCGTTTCGGTTTCGATTCTAATGTTCATCATCACATTCTCATAGTAGTAGGTAATTGTAATACTTTTGATGGCTTGCAGTTGATGGCAAACGATAATTTATAGACGTAAATCGATGAAGTTAACGTAAAATAAAAAAAAATAACTCGATCAGCGGTGGAGGTAAATAAATAAAACAATTGCTACAAGCTTGCTTCGTAATAATTAAAAATTAAACCGAAACGCACGCGAGCAGCAAGACTCGTCACGACTATCCAATCATTACTAAACTGAAAAGTAAAAAACGATAACGAAGACGCACGTTCGAACGAACCAATTTTTATACAATTTTTGAACGGGTTTCAATTGGTCAGGACCGTGCCGATACAATGTCGCGACCAGTGGCGAAATGTTCTAGGCCCATACACGGTGTTTTCCCGTTATTTCTGTAATACGTGATATGACATGATAATTTAAAAAATAAAACTCATAGTAAGACCAATATATTAAAATTAAATTAAATTCCAGAACAAATAAAAATGCAGATTTATTGTTTACTATAGTTTTTAAAAAAAAAATAATATGGATTATGCATGAGTATGGAGTATAGATTATTAGATTACAAAACAATTATTATGATTAAATAATAAAAAATTTAAGGGTACAATATTGTATTAAATATATTTCTGAGATCCGTTTAGTATGTAGTATTACTCGAAAAATGTATTATAACTTTTGTGTAAAATTTGTATTCAGTGACCACTACAAAAATCACATGGTTTGAAAAAAATCGCAGTTTCTACGGCGTCCTTAGGTTTTCACCTTTCACTCATAATAAATAATAATAATTAAAAAAAAAAAATAAAGGTGGACATAATATACCTGATCACTCAAGCTTTTGCGTTTTAATAGTTATCATTTTTATTTATTTGAATTTTTTTTTTTTTTTTTTTACTCTTTTTCGTGTGATTCGCAGTTATACTGCAAGTCTTTGCACGTACTGCTTCAATTTTTCATGTTGGCTAACTACATGTGGATGTTCTGCGAGGGCCTACACCTGCACATGGCCCTAGTCGTTGTGTTCGTCAACGATGTGTACGCGATGCGCTGGTTTCACACCATCGGCTGGGGGCTGCCAGTCGTGATCACCACACTATACGTCTCGTGGAGAAGCTATTCTGAAGACACCACTCAGTAAGTCCGGCCGCTAAAAAACACTTAAAAGTTTTGGGCATGCAGGTAAACAAATTGTATGAAGGTTAAAGGTGTCTCGGTACAAAAACGGATTATGGTCATGAATGGTCATCGTGGTTCGGGTGCGTAGCCGGGTCACGACCACTCTTCATTGAACGATCCCTAAAATAATAACGGAATACATCACCGTCATATAATGTTATATTCTAAAGTTGAAAAAATACTGAAAAATCAATAACAATAACGCGTTCGTCTTTGTTTGTTTTGATAAAATTATATTACCACGGATTTACAGTATGGTTTTGATAATCTTTAGAATCAAAAAAAAGTTGTCTAAGTATGTATTAGAGTTCAACACTCGAAACATACACCACGTTAGAAATATCGACCATTGTCAAAAAAAAAAAAAAATCCGGAAAAACACTTACTCGGCAGTTAATATTTCACTTTTTTTTTTCTTTTTTACATTTTCGCGTAAAATATTCGCACGGATTTCCACTACACGGGTAGGTGTAGGTACTCGTATACGTCTACCGACGCCTATATTATATTTTATAATAATGATAATATGACGTGCCTGCCGGTGTCATACGTGGACGCGAAAGACGTACGGGCGGTCGTTAAGGCGGTTTAGGAAGTATTGTGTGTACGTCACGTGTATAATAATATAATATAATAAAACGATAGAGATCTCGCGGTCGCTGACGGAGATGACAAACCACGAGCCGGTTATTATATTATACCTCACATCCCCGCGACTGTTTAATTAAAAGCGGACAGGGAGAAGAGGAGAGATTATATAAAAAGAAGATAATATTTTAGAAATACGTCGTTAGGTACATATATTGTTATAAACACTACTGCAACAGACGGCACGATATTTACGTTTATACCATACTCGTAATTGTTTATGCCTGAGTTTGTCGTTTGCACATCGATAATTCCATATAGTTTTGTCGGTAATTTGATTGATCACGATTTTAGCGTGACAATCGTAGCTAAATAGTTGTTGTGCCAACAAATTAAGCGCACATTTTAAGACTTGGTACCTAGTCGACCGATCTGAAGTTACGGTTTTATATTTAAAATTCTGAGCGGAGCGAGGAATTTATTAGTTTTACATTGATGTTTATTTCTTTTTTTGTGTGGACAATTTTTCTAACTTTTCTTAATTTTTCTAAATCTGACTGAGGTGGTAATTAGGAGGTAATTTTTTTTTTTCTCAAAAATGTTCTCAATAAATGGGAAAAACGTATGAAAAAAGGGAAAAATTATTAAATGTATTATGTAGAACATAATTCATATACATGTACATACATATGTGAGACATATATATACATATATATATATATATATTGTTGACAAAGTTATACTATTAACCGAACTTCATTCGGAATCGTTTTTCGTTAGCAACGGTTATTAAATGCGTACAAATACACATTAAATTTTTCCTCTACCTTCCCAACTTTTTACCTAAAACAATGGCCCACTCATCGTGTGAAGTATGTCCGACTTTCTAATTAATGTTATTACATTATTGTGTACGTGTATGATTGCTATTTAAATGTATTTCTAATTGTTTTCATAATTCCGGTTGATTAATGTTATTTAAATATTTTAACAATACGATTTAACAAACCACTAAATCAGTTGAAATAAATTTATTAGTTACCGAAAAAGATCTTATCAAATTTAAAATTTATTCTCCGACTAGTGGTAATTACTGTGGAACATGGGACTAACTAGATGATCTGAAAAAAATAATAATTGTTGATAATAATTGCAGGCAGTAATTTCAATTATATCGTGCAACAAGACAGGGAGTTTTCCATAGATTTTTCATATTTTTGGTAAGAACCTTTGTTGGACGCTTTTTAGTGGCTCATTGTGTCGAGCCCATACACTGAAAGACTTTAAGAGGGAATCACGAAAAAAACTAATTTATGAAAAGAATATATTAATTATTAGTAAGTAAGTTTAAAAGTCATAAACATAAATTATAATTTCTCGACCATACGTTATGACTCGGGAGTTTTGCAGAAGTAAACTGGCTGTAAATTCGTTAAAACCAATACGTTATTGTCTGCAATAAACTAAATGTAAACAAATATAATGGGAGAGATTTTATCCCACAACCACCTTACATAAATATAATACGAGTATATTAAGAAATATAAATTCATGAACGTCATCTAGGACTAATAGTAAACAATCCTTATCAACTGCAGGTTTGATAAAAGGACATTTGGGGTTCACAATTATTTTTTTTTAAATTGTTTTTAATAGTTCGTCAAGTAACCGCATACTACCTATAATCGTGATAACAACCGATTATAATATTCAGAATCGTCTGTGAAAAATAACACATATTATAATAAAATACTTACATTTTCATAACAACCTTAACATAATATACTCTGTTGTTTTTTCGGCGAAAAATTCTTAAATTTCTATCCGTGTACCGGCCGTAAACACCGACGTGTTCTCTTTTTTTTCTTACGCGATTTATTTGTGATTTATATTTACTGTGATATATTGTGATTTCTTTTTTTTATCTATCTACCGTTGTACATTCGTTTCATAAAACGCACGAAAAAAAATCATAAATAGTGTTATTATAGCGAATTGTTCGAGTACAATTCCTTGTACAATCGTACCTTACTTGCACGTATTATACTTACACTGATTAAAATTAAAACGTTTTGCATGTTACGTTTTCAAATACCTATTATTACGCTTTTTTTTATTTTAGCATCGTAAGATGTAAATATAGTGTAACAATGATGACTGGTAATAATTGTCTTGTCTTTTTTTCCATGATTTAAAAATTGCGCAACTGATAGCCAATACTTATCCTTAATTGGATTTATGGCCAATCGACAATACAGATTCAGAAATACGCAGTAGTCTCTAAATCACAAGAGGTATTAAGTACACTTCTCGTATAATACAGAGATAACCTATGCTCATCGTAAAATATTATATGGCTGAAAACAAAAGGCGGGATTTAGCTAAATATTAACATTTCATAGGCAATGGATATCGGCTAAACGTATAGGTATGATTGTAACGCAAAGTGTTTCGGTTATGAACTGAAATTTTAAAACATTTAATATCATAATATAGTTTTGGGTCCAGGTGTCAACGTCACATTCTTAAAAATAAAAACAAATAAAACCACGATCGTGGTAAAATTTAGATATTTAATCAAAGAATCAAATCCAAGTTCAAAACTGAAAATAGCAATCCAAAACTAAAAGAAACAAATGTACGTATGTCCGCTTTCAAATTTCAAAAATTCTAAAGTAGAGTTTTTTTTTCATCAACAAAAATTCCAATTATTCCTATTTCAAAATTAAAATGTATCCCATTTTTCCTCTGCTTTTTTCGGTTTTTCACATTTGTTGAGCAAAATCCTAAGAAAATTGAGAAATTACCTCTTTAAAGTACATTCCCAATGAAATTTCCTTTCAGGAAAATTGCTATCGTTATAAGTTGGAGGAACATTGTTGATAGAAAAGTTATCCACAGGAAAAAAATAGGGCGTAATATTTTTAGCTTATACTTGCATTTCTTACATTTTCCAGGTCTTCTTCCATTTTTTTTTTCACATTTACTAAGAAAACTCCTGAAAAAATCGAAAAATAACCTTTTTAAAATACCTCCCTCCTCACACCGATTTCCTTTCAGAAAAGGTGCTACACATACAAATCGGAGTATAAAATATAAAAGTTGTCCATTTGTTCAATGAACAAAAAAAAAAAAACATCTTAGAAAATCAGAAGTTTCTTCGCTCTACCCAGAATCTGAATCTGTACTGTACGAACATGTATAGTATAAAAGGAACTACGTTTTCGAATCGTTTTTCGTTAGAAATAGTTTACCGTTGAGTACAGATATAAATTAAATTCCCTTCTATAGCCTATCTTCCCAAATTTTCACCTACAATAGTGGTCCATTAATTGTGCGAAGTATGTCCGTCTGTTTTACTTTATTTCTGAAATTCAGCTGACTGATCTTAACGAGAGTCTAACACATAATAGATCCTGTATAGGGAAGATGAAATTATAAAATGTATATTATATATGTACTAACCAAGTGAACATAGGACCGTGGATTTACGAGCTAAAAATTTGGAACCTTTTGCGGTAAGTTTTAAACGATTCCCGTGGCGACATTTTTATTACTATTTTCAATTTTGAACCCACGCAACTTTAATATGGTGTCGATAAAATCGCTTAGACGGAAAATTACTCTCGTCGAGTAGTATGTTGTAATAGGTATAGATGGCAGGTGTGATAAAAGTGAATATCGTTTTATCGTACAGGAATAAAATAGTGACACATGACTAAAACAATTTTTTTTATAACTATCACTGCTGAGTGTTCACTCCAAAGTAATGTATTCTAAATGTATGTACGGTTTTATCAAAAATAGATAAATACTTCTTAAATTACAAATACAAAAACTTAAATTTGAAATATCTAATAATTTCAAACAGCGACACTAATCGGCACTACTTTTTGTAAATCTATACATTTTTAATTTTTTCGAGTAGTTATTTCAATAGCGTTTTTGTTTTTTTTCATCATTATTATTCCCAATACACAACCGGCTCTTAAATCCTCTTCAGGGTTATCGACGTTCTTCCTTATACGTTCCGAGTCGTCTTATATCAGACGATTATACATTTTCCTACTCTAAATAATAGGTATTATAAACATTTGATAATTTGCTTTTCCCCCCATCTTATTCACTATAAAATAAACATTCGAACGCAGTTCTCTTATAGATACAGTATTAATTTTTTTGTATCACCAACGCAATGTACAACATAATATTATATCGCATACCATGCCCAGACAAGTGCGAATAGTTGTAACCCCTCTCCTGTCGATTCATAGTAAAAGTATTGAAAAATATTCTTCCAGGACGAACATGACGTGTTATACGATTTTAATAATATATAAAAATATTGTAAATATATTATATAATGGCCGTTGCAGTTATATGATGGATATTGGATGCTGACGGGGAATTGCCGTTCGTTCCGACAATAATAATATATTATCGCGCGTCACGACAAGGAGAATTTCATTGGAATACAATATTTTGAATATGTATATACATATTTTACGTATTTGTACAGAGAACAAAAAATTGTGTTTTTTTTTTTTTGCTTCTTTGCTTTTGTACGGTCAACGAAAATACGGCGAAATATAATTTTTCATTATTTTTCCTTTTCATTACAAACGCGTAATTTTGGGTACCTCAACAAGTCGCATATAAATATGTTGTCATATTCAGTGTTGTATTTATCTAGATAATTATATTACATTTTAAGCGTAACGAGAAATGCGTTGGTTTTACTATAATATCTGCGATTTTTCTTTTCTTGATTGTACATAACTTTTCTACCGACAGTTGCGAATTTACAGGGAGGGGGGAGTCCAGGGGGTCTGGACTCTCTAACCGCAGACACCGATATAATTTCAATAAAATTTCAAAAGAGGTATCTAATAATACATTTAAAATACATATCATTTTTAAGGAACTTCCTTCAGAAATTGAAAAATCCACTACTGTCAACCAGGAATTTCGCTCAAATAAAAAATCGATAAAACATTTTTTTTTAGGCATTATGATTATTGTTAGTGTATTGAGAAGTTAATTTTTTTAATTTTCAAATAGTTTTTATACAAATTAGAAAAAAAAACTGACACATTTACGGCAAACAAAATAGCATTATTTTCGATTTTTTCACTTTTTGTTTTCTACTAAAAATCTTACTATGATCATCAATATAATTGACGATTTTCGGTTTGTAAACCTTATACAATTATGGTGGTCATCGTTTTCACATCGTCTATTTACTTGTCTAAAATATATTTAGGTTACCAATTTATCGAAAAATAAAAATGTAACAGATGTATACCCCACCGACTTAAAATATAACGTGGACTTCTTATATTCGTCAACTACTTCTTCTACATCGCATTGATTCCAACTATTTGAGATCATCCACCCTCGTCCTAAATTTCCATTTAAATCGATCTCGTACATCCTTCCTCGCATATATCCACTGTCCTCAATCATATCCACATAACGGACAGCTATTAAACGTGTAGGTACTACGCAATACCTAATAGTAACATATTGTTACAATGTTAAAATAAATAAATTTCTATAAGTTAAATTTTCCCTTAAAAAAAAAAAAAAATGCTGAGAAAATACAAAAAATATGCCAGGTATAGGAATTGACGCGATTTTTCGTGGAATAGCTTAGATCATTATTTCTTATTCTTCTTCTTCATTATCAGCTTACGGCCCATTAAGAGCCATTGCTGCCTGCCACATTCGTTTCCATCATTCCCTGTCTTCTGCATCTTCCTTCCCTATGTCATCTATGGTTCGTAGATCCTCCAGTACTGTTTTTAGCCATAGTTGTCTTAGCCTTTTTCGTTGTTTTTTCCTATTTAATTTCTTGTATAGTATTTCCTTCATTTCACTTCCTTCTAATTTCCAGACATACTCAAACAATTTTATCCGATTACTTTTTACAAAGGCAACAACATTATTATTTTATAACATTTTTATATTTTCAGAAAACTTATATTCAATATAACTATTAAATGCATTACTTAAGTGATAGTAAACAATTTAAAACACAAACGACTTTTTACAATGAAAGATATACATACTTCAGAACATGGTTATGTCACTGTTTTAGGTCTAGTAGGGTTTCGATAAATAATTGAACTAAGTTTTAATTGAAACTTCTAAATTGTTAACTTGCAACAATATAAAATAAATTACAAATAGGAGTAATTGTTTTTTTTTTTTTGTCAGTGAGACAGAATTGTAGGCTAGAGACCATTTTGTAAAGGACTGCGATTTTGAATCTTTTTTTAGCTCATTTTAACTATATATAGGTACAAGTTTCAACAAAAATCTGAAATTCAAACTATTAACGTTTATAATATTAAAAAAAAAAAAATTCCTGGGCGGTTTAATCACTAGATTCGTATTTCTCCTTATCCCTTCCGCATTTTATAAATATATTTTGCATATCATATACAGTATTTATTATAATTAAGAAAAGGACAGATAAAACTTTAGGAAAATTGGGATAAATTACGGAAATTCATGGTAACTCTTCTGTTTTCGATTTGGTTTCATTGCTGTACAAGTAGATAAAACGAATTGATTTGGTTATCAGTAATATGAGGTGTTTAGTTTAAAATAATCGCAGAAACCTGAAATATTCGGAGCATACTTATATTAGGTAGCCTTTACTAGACGCAACAAAATGTTAGAGAACAAAATATTAGGACTTTTGGAATCTATAAATGTGCAGCACATCTGGTACACTTTTATTACTATAGGTTCAATGACAGTTAACGAACAAAAATCATAAAAAATATCATTTTTTATCTAGGTAAAATTTTGCTGATATAGTATATCTATAAAACTGAATTGTTATAATATATAAACGTATGGAATATTTTATCTTCGTCCTCGTCTATATAATATAATCCTAACAATTATCTGTATCCAAATATTTGAAAACGTATCTTCGCTACAATACCGGTAGCGATAACATTGTGTTCAGTGGCGGTGGAAAAAACCGCATTCATTATAACAGTATCGAAATTTCGCACAAATGAAATATTAAATAATTTGTTTGTTTTCACTAACTATAATAATATACCGAAGCGCGCAAAATAAATGTTATTACGAGAGCACGTAATAATTAATCACAATTTACACCCCTGAAATGAAGATTGTGCCGGTGTTTTTTGAACGTGATTAATAATAATTATATTATACTTAACACGAAAACAGCACACCGCGCCCATGTAGGTTACACGTAATGTATAGAAACCGTAATAATATTTACTATAATTTTAACGCGTCGTGTCACGTCCAATAATATTTTTCTCAAGCCCGTGAAGAACTGATATATTTTAGAGGTTCTTTTTCTCGTAATTTTACAGAGCTACCAAAATAGCCGAATCGAACACGTAGACCGCTCTATAATAATTTCATTATGGTATCTCACACTCGTCGCTTCTGTTTTTTAATCACCTCGACGTCGTCGTCGTCGGGTAGGCCGTGTTTTATTTCGTTATTTTTAGATTTCGGCATTAAAAAATATGCCTTTTCAAATTTCGTTCGAAATCGTTTTTCATTAACAATGATTTATCTTTTTGTATAGATATAAATTCAATAACTTTATGTATCTTACCTTCCCAATTTCTCACCTACTACAATGACTGCACCAGACCTGTGGCCAGAAAATATTCATTAAGTGGGCCAGTACTTGGGAGGTCTTTCCTACAATTTGTTTATAATAAAAATGGTAGTTTTAAGCACATTGTATCTATAAATATATAACCTAATAATACCTTTGTACGTTACTGACAGATTTATTTTTTTATGATTATGCCATCTACCGGATAATATACACAACATAATATAATACTGCTGTTATGATGAATTAGTAACAGGTACTAGGTAGTAATCACTAATCATTAATCAATTTATAACACTATACGCAGGTCGAGTAGGATGGTATTTGGTGGTATAAATTAAACACATAATAACAGGTTCCACTGAATATTTTGGGTGGGCCGACCTAAGGCCAGAAACATTTTAGGATGGGTCAGGCACACCCTAACCTCCCCTTAGTTACGTGCCTGGACAACACCCGTCCCCAATATCAGCTTTTTTTTTTTTTTTTTAAATTTCCCATCATTAATACTGCGTTCACAGACGTATACGTAATAATATTATTATTTTTTACTAATTATTTTACACGAAGTCGAGGATCACGAAATGGGTGGTTTTTTTAAACGAACTATCCCGCGTCGTTATTATTATTATTATACAACCAACGAGTAACATAATTATCATCATTGTATAAGATAAATGCATTGATACCACTACACCCGTCGTAAAAAGTACAACGGTAAATTAATTTACTATTATGATTGCGATAAACGAGTGAACCACTATCACTGTCATTTCACTGTGTATTCGTACAATATACGTATAGCGTTATGCTTTCGTACTAGGGTGGTTTTTATCGTATAAATGAGGAATTATTTTTCTGCGATTACCTATTGATCGAATTATCGAAATACCCCAGAATTCGTTGAAAACTGTATACAAATAGTTAGTGTCAAGTCTCGTTAACGTTGATCAACCCCCAAAGGAGCAGGTATCTCAAATGGATTGAGGTTTCAAAAAATATTTATTTTTTCGATGTTTTGAAATTACCGCCTAAAACATTCATAAAAGGTAAAAAATTAAATATGTTTCCACTTTAGTTTTTTAAAATAATATAATTACTTGTTTTTTTTTTTTCATTAATTGCGTCAATCATCTACAAAACGAGTATTTTAATTTTACATGTAAATTGGCTTTTTAATGAAAAAAGCATAAAAAGCATATTAAGTAACAATATTATAAGGTCACATTTTTTAAAAATTATACATATATTATTCTGTACATTCTATGCCCAGCATAAAGAGTTTAGGCAGTTATAGCAATAATAAAATTAAAAAATCATATTTTTAACGTTAATCCTCTTGAGGTACGTCCAAGAGTTGACCAATTATTACGAAACTTCATAAAATTAATTTGTTTACGATTTTGAACAAATAATTCAGAATATTATTCTGAAGACAGCCCGATTAAATTAAAAAGAAAAAATATAAGGAGTACCCTAAGGGACTATCCTTCACATGGTGATTTTCCGCCTCATGTAACATGTCACTAATTATTATCTCTTAAGTATACAATTTGAAAAACACCAGAAAAAAAAATTTTTATACTTTTATGACCGTCATCTCCCAGTCAAAAAAAAAAAAAAAACCATTTCGTATACTACACCTACACAATTATACTAATCGTTCTGTCATCGACGGTTACTCGTATAAACAATTTATGTGTAATAAAAAAAAAATCCTTACGGTTAATTGAATTATACGCAGTTAATTGAATAATATTTAGATAGGCGATTCCGGCTCACGCATATAATATGGTTGAAAAGAATTTACGGACCAGACTTTTTTTTTTTTTTTTTTTTTTTGTTTTTGTGTGTATGAAACGGGATTTTTAAGTGCTTTCGGAAAATAAACTATTTTGTGTTCGAACGACCCTCGCAGCGGCTATGGCGGAAAGAATCGCAGGAGAGAGACCCGACAAACATAATATATGAGCGCGTAAAAATACTCGGCTGTATATAATTATATAATGGATCCGATTTTAGTTTCCGTCAAGATTTTTTTTTTTTTTTCATACCTCACTCATTAATCGAGTAAATAAACCCATATTATATACAATTACTGTATTATTTAGGGCATAAAAAATTATAGTATTATGTAAACTTTAATAATATAATATCTCCGAAACGCGCGTATACAGAGTGATTTGTTCGTATCCACGATCTAGCGCGATTAACAGCTGCTATATATTGGAACGGTCCTTATATTGTATATGGATAAAGGAAAAAAATGTATACGATTTTAATCTAGAACCCCGTTACTCTTCCCCGTTTTGTTCGTCAATATATATATATAATGAGAGTTTTTTTAAATTCGATGACGATTTGATTGATTTTTGATTGAAATTTGACGACGATAGCTCAATTCCTTCGCGTGTCGTAGGAGTTGAAAAATGACCGAAAGGGGTGGTTCCTGACCGTTTTTCTATTTTAAACAAAAAAAAAATGTAGCATTTGCATGAAAATTTGCCAAACCATGAGTATAGAACATACAATGATTTATACAAAATAGCTTAACGGAATTTCACATAAATTTAAAAAAAAATAGTTTAAATTAAATTGACAAATATTTCATTTAAAAAGAGAATTTTATTTACGAGAAACAAGACATTTTTTTTATTAACAATTTGATGTTCTATATTTAAAGTCCGGTACATTTTTATCTACATACTACATACAATTTGTTAATTAAATATAAAAAATTATACTGTGAACTATCCTGTTTGGTCATTTTTAAGCCTTTTAGAGGTAAGTGAAGAATTTAAAGTATCACCAAATTTCACCAAAATTACTTTCTTATATTGACGAGAAAAATGCGGAAGAGAGGTATTCGATCAACATTGAATACATTTTTTTTTTTTGATCTATGAAATAAAAATCACCTTATACTTTTATTTAAGTCCTCTTAAAAAAGAAAAATCCTACAAAAACGTGTACGCGTACGTATATAGAATATTAATACGTTCATATCATTTTACAATTAAACTGCAGTAGGTATTTAAATTTTAACAATGTCTTATGTATTATATCACTAATAACACTCCCGCCGGAAAACTTGGCTAAAAATGTTTTGCTACCTACCCAACCATTTACACGTAACTACTAAATTATATTGCCAATGCTCAACACCCTAATGTCATAAATACGTCATACACCCGGCTTTTTGCTACGTTTAAAAAAAAAATAAAATACACCAACTAAAAATGATTTGGCATTGCGTTGTTTTGTGTACGCTATGGTTTTATATAGTATCGGGATGATCAAATTGAATATTTAACTTAAATTACATAGCCAAACTGCACTTGGATCAAAAAAGTCTTGGATTAAACAAGTTTTGAAAACGTTAATTTTCCTCGTGTTAATGAAACGAGTGTTTGTAAAATATAACACCGGGATTTCTTCCGTTGCAGTGTATAGTGATCATGTCAAATGACAATTTAATAATGAAGGCCTATATTATCGAATGATGGTATTGAAATGTTTGTATCAGGACACATAAAAAAAAGTAATATCAATAAATTTGAGGGATTTCCTCTGTGGCTTATATTCAACTATGCAAATTTATTCTAATTTAGTTTTGTTTTCATCAACTAACTTTCAATTGAATCAAGTTACTATTTTTTTTATTAAAAGTGTAAGTAAAATAGATTAGTAGTTATTAGTACATTTTTTTTTTTTTTTGTAATATTATTTTAACTAATTTTAACTTAAAAATTGTCTAATCTACCCATGCTTGTCCGGTGTCCTTACTATTTTAGTGCAAAATGTTAGTCTTTTAATGTATGACTAACATTTTGCATAAACTAATGTTATACTATATTAAAGTATAGAGCGTATATTGTACCTGTATATTATTATTATGTATTTCGACCAAAAGTACAATTTTAATCGAGACCCAGTAAAACCTATTTTATGTAAAAAGTTGATTAAGCCCGAGGCTATCTGTATGACAACCACCGGTAAGTTTGTCAGTATTCATTCCGACCATTACACGATGAAACGCAATAGCATATACATGTAGATGCATATAATATATATATTTTTTAAAAGCATCTGATGGTGAAAACTGCAGATGTACATTATACATAAATAATTGAGTTAATAAATGGTAAAATAATAATACACTGAAAGCGAATGAACAAAACACGCGAATGACAAATGTAAAAAAAAAAAAAAAACCATCACTTTAGAGTTAAGAGTGAATACATACTCTATGTGACGGCACGAAGGAGAAATATTTGAATCGCGTGATTAACAGAAAAGTTTTTAAAAAAAACGGGTGAATGGGTCGTGGGTACCTTGGTGTTCAGAAATATTACGAAAATGATTATGTTATTACAAAACAGAAGTCATTAGAGGAATTTAAAAAGGCGGAAATTCGATAAATTGTATTAAAGACCTCAAAAATAACTTGGTTTTTAGATTTTGGGGTATTTTTGGTAAGGGTGGGTGTAAAATTGGATCGGTGATTCAACCGTAAAAATGGTTAAACATTTTTATATCAAAAAAACAAAAATATGTTTAAAACTATCGAACAGAATAAACGCTATTTCAAGTGTCCGATCTCCGTGTTACATACTGTATGCATATATATATATATATATCTAAGTACATAATTCACGATTTCGATTAACTATTTACAAGCGTTTGTGTATTATTTATTGTACGAAATGTAAAACGAGAGGACAGCGCACGCCTACACCTACTACATATAGCTATATAAATAATTATTTCGGCAGTAGATTTTGTTTTCCCGGAAGGTGATTTTTTTAATTTATTATCAACACGTGTGTTAATTCGGGAGTGCGTTTTTTTTTTTTTTTGATTTCAATGGAATTTACGTGTAAATCGCAAAAAAATCGGAACCTAATGAAAACTCAAAACAAAAAAAAAAAACAAAACATCGTTTCTATACAGGGTGTTCTACAGTGTTATCCTTATGCTAATAATTCTGTAAATATTCATTTTTTTTTTTCAGTGGGGTTTTGTACGAGGGCGGCACATGTGCAGAGAAAAATACAATTTTTATTTTCATCCCTCTTAGTTTCTGAAAAAAAATTGTATTTCATCACTTTTTAAAATTTTAAAAATAGCCATTTTGTAAAAGATGTAATTCTATACATTTTAATGTAACATCCATTGATAGCCGATCAATAGTTTCCTAGTAATAGCCGTTTTAATTTCTAAAAACTTTCTGAAAAAAATTTCTGAAAACTATTAACTTTCTACTTGAGATTAACACGTGTTACGAGATATCACAATCAGAATGGTAATTCCTTATCTTTTATTGAATATTAATTGTTTTCACGTCTATTTTATATACATTAAAGCTAGGCTATCACTAAGAAAAAATTAATCGGATATAAATGTATGTTACATTAAAATTCTTAGAATAATATATTTTTTACAAAATAGCTATTTTGAACATTTTAAGGAGTGGAAAAATAAATAATTTTTTTTCAGTGATTAAGACATGAAAATAAAATTTAATTTTTCTATATATGTGTCCCCCTCGCACAAAACCTGACTGGAAAAAAAAATGAATATTAACAGAATTATTAGCATAAAGATAACCCTGCAGAATATTCTGTATACAGAGTACGTATAAACGCGAAATGAGTAAAAAAATATACATTCAAAATTGTAAAATTCGCTCAAAACGTACTTCGAATTATTTTGTATGCAAAACGAAATAAATATAATATTATTATGTTGATCTGCGGACATGATAGAAATTTAAAAATTGATTCTTAACTATAAATTCATGAAACGAATATAATATTCCAATCGATAATTACATTAGCCATAAAGAAAAGTATTATTTCATAATTTATTATATTTATTTAAATAATCTGATGCGTTAGAGATCATAAAATACACTGTTTTTTTTTTAATTTTTTTAAAAATACGCAGCCTCTATGCGATTTTTTTGTAAAAAACCCGTCGTAATAATAATTATAATAATAGAACGCGTGTCCGTCGAATATTCTATTTAAAGATCCACATTATTTTTAAAATGACGTGCAGTTGTCAAATACTGGTAAATACTCACTATGTTTACAAATTGTAATAGCAATATTAGAACTTCGTATACAGAGTGAATCATTTATCTAGAACCGTCGATTTTCCTCGGATTTTAAATAATTACCTATGATTTCTGTTGTTCATTTGTTTTTTTTTTTAAAACTATTTTGTAGGTACAGTCGTTTAAACTTGATTTTACCGCTGTTTTTAATTTGCTACCTCTACTACCCTAGATGATCATAAACTTTTAATTTTAAAATAGAAACGTCCCATCTCTTTTGATCATAGATTTGATTAGGGATTATATGTCTAAAAAGGTCTGTATGCATAATCTTATAAAATCGGATTTACCGTTTATTAACTATAATAATTTAAACATTAAAACGGAGTATTGAGGGATGGTTAACAAAAATTTAAAAGTGGATATGAAATTTATTACCTTTCCTTGAATTTGTATTAAAAAATAGGGAGAGAGTTTGTACTCAAAATCCATGAGTGTGAATACTCGTTTAAGGTTAAAGGAGTAGGAGCATACAGTAGCATGCTGAAGTAATTTTTTTTGTGATACATACTTCATGACTAAAATGTATAGGTGTGTTAATACCCTAAATTTAAACCAAATATATTGGTTAACTAGTTCAGAGGTCAGGGACGGGACACCCTTAGTTTTGGGTGTTATTTTATTGCGATAATTATTACTTTCTTCAGTGTATTCTATTTTGTAATATTAAGGTCGACAATGCATCAAGAAAGACACGAGAACTAAACGTTGCTGCGTTGTGAAACCAATATTGGTATTGATAATTATGAAGCGTTGAATATCTTTGGGTAGACATACAAACGATTAATACAAGTTTTAGTATACAAATAAAAGCCAAATCATAATTATCTAAACGGAACAGAATAATAACTAAAAATAAAACCTAAATCAAACTCACTTTTAACACCCTATACGAGAAAATCGCCAGTTCGTTATGAATTTATCACCCTGTATATCGTCAAAAATAATACGATGTGTGTTTATTTACGTCCGGGTAAAGTTTTCTCGAGCCGAGCATGACCGGAGAAATTTTACCGGGGTTCAATATTATCTTTTGTACCTATAGCTGGCTGCAGGTACCTATCGTACCCGCGGGTCCGATAATAAATATTTATACGCGTTTTCTCTGTATCCTCCGGTACTACACTGTCCTGAATACTCTGTCCTGTTTTCCCATTCTGTTTTGTCACCCCCCGCGGTCCAAACCCACAGGTATTGTGCGCGACAAAAGCAGGTCAAACGATATTTCGGAAAATCGTGCGCTCCTAGGAGAAAAGCTTATAAAAATTAGTACTATATTTTCATTAATTTATGCAACTCCTTCTCATTTTATTTTATTTTTACAAATTTGAGTATGATACGTTTTCTTATACAATAAGATACAACAAACACATAAATAACTAAGGCTGATCATTCATAAGTTAAAAAGTTATCGTTAAACTAATTTTAACTTTAAACATTTGATTTATTTTTTTACTAACCTTAATTTTAATTTAATTTATTTTTGAATTATAAACTTAAAAAATAAAGAGTTGAATTTGAATTAAACTACATTTGGTGAACATTAAAGAAAAAAACAAAATTCACAATATTCAACGTACAATCTATACACTATTTGAATAGATACCTAGAACCATATTTAAAATTATTATTTATTTTGGTTTACGAAATATGTTATGTGGAGTTCAGAGTTTAAAATAAGTAACTGTAATTTTGTATTCCCGAAACAATTCAATCGTGTTCAATCATTATTAAAAAAATTAATAAATAAATAAACTAACTTTAGGTAAAATTATTTTTTACTCTGACAATGCCAATTGTAAAAATAAACATTTTACTAAAGTTAAAATTTCAAAATAAATTTCAAACTGGCTTTTGACTTTAAAAATTTAATTGATACAAACTATTTATTATTTTTCAATTAAATTATTTTAATTGAGTTAATTTTTTTCACCAAAATTGCCCAGCATTGTAAATAATATTATGTTTAAAATGTTTATTAGACGAAAATATAACCACGTTTATAATATGAATTTCCATCGATTCAAAGGAACACAAAACAACAAATATCCGAATGAAATATACACATGTATACATTATTTGATGTATTTAATATATTATTATAATTTAAAATGTGTAATTGAAAAATTTATCACGTAATGATATGTTCGTATTTATGAACGACACTATACGATGGGCTTATCAGTAATATCATTATTATTATAACGGAAGGCGCGATCTATCCGCAAGAATGAGTAGTCCACACGTAATAACGTAAAACTATTTGCACTTAGACTTTAATAATCTTCCCCACCAAACAAAATCGTTAAAAACAATAATATTTACAACAATTATGATGAAATACATACCTAGTTGTTCAAACACATTTTTATTTTTATGTAATACACATTTATTAAATTTTTCGAATATTATTTTTGTAGTAGGTTTATATAACAAATTACAATTAATAATAATATTACTATAATAAATAATTGTTCAAGTTAAATATTTAATATCGTATTTTCTTCATACATTATAATGATAATAAAAACCACCACGAGTAAAAATGATTATAAGATTAGCCTGCAATTCACGAGACCGATTATATTCTTAGGGATAAAAAGAATATAATATTTATAAACCGAAAACTATAAAGGTACACTAAATTTATTTAAAAATATTTAACTTTAAGTATATATATTTTATAACTGTGCATATTATATTATACAAGTGACGCGGATTCTAGTGGGCGGTTCGTCAAATTGAAATTTAAAACGATTTTTTGATTAGAAAACAAAGATCGTCGGTGAGCAGAGTTCCGTGACTAGAATCGAATTTTCTCCTCCTCTATTTTATTTTAGAAATGTTCTTTGTAAAACAGTTAATAACCGAATCATGTAATATTTTAATACTATAAACTACATATTATGTGTCTACATTATTTCCAAAATAATCGTGAAATTTTAGCATAAAAATGCATAGGCGTGGTTGAATCCCCGAAAAAGACATTCCTTATTGTGATTATAGTAATTGCTATCTTCCCAATTTAATCTGGGGGCTTATATAGGAACGTCCAAATCTAACATTAATCTCATCTAACAAAATGATGATATTCATATTGAGAATATTAAACAGACTTTTATTAATCCAATCTGCCATAAAACAAATGTGATACCCAAGTTTAATCTCGTTAAGTTCGTTCAGAAGAGTCCCGGTCTAGAAGAATCCAAAATTTTAAAAGCTCACAATTAGCGGAAAAAATATTGACACAATGAAGATTCAAAATAATTGCTATCATTTTTCGGGAAAAATTCGACAAAAAAAAAAAATTCACTATTATCCTAATTTTAAATAAATTCGAATTTAAAACATAGTTTTTATGTCAGAAAGCAAGAAAAAAACTGAACTAAAAATAAATTAACTTTGTAACGTTGCAGGATATCGCATTTTTTTTTTTTATAGAGAAAAAGATTATTATAGAATATTTGAGCGCATTTGGAAAATTCGAATGAAATATTATTAATTATTATGTAATTTTACGGCACCTATCGAAGGTATTTTAAACAAAAGCGAATAAAAGAATCGTGTTTAAATCATTAATCAAACGTCGACATATTTGTTTAAACACTAATCAAACATAATACAATAATAATAATAATAATACTGTCGTAAGATCTTACACACTATAATATATACAATTGTAACGTGTGCCCGCGTTAAACACAAAAAAAAATCCATTTTTTATACAGACTATATTTCGACACATAATTAATGCATTTTGCTTTGCTCGCGACCGGTTTCGCTGACTGTTTCTTGACCGTTCGTCGTTGTTCTGCGGCGGCCGTACCGAATTTCTAATTTCTTAATAATACTCTACCGTAACAACATCGCAAATCTTATCATACCTACACGGTATCGTACAGTATTATAAACACGTTAACAATATGTAAATATAAACAGAATATATTACAATGACTGATCGCGTTGTATACTCTTATAGATAATAAAGAAACGGACGGGCATATCGGATTGTCACTTATTAGTTCCCAGAGTTTTAATATAAGGGCACAATTGTTTTCTTCCGCCGTAAAGACATTGATTTTTCCGGTTACCTATCAATTCAAAATTATAATAAAATTAACTGATACGTTCCGACCATGGACTTATAAGTAAGGTCGTGCTAAAGTGGGGCAAAGGAGACAGTACTGCCATAGGCCGTTGGAGTTGTTATAAGTTTATGAACGTCGAATTTTAGACGGATATCAAGTTTACGCTCTAAACATGATGATTTATCTAGGGCGCCAACGATAATAAGGTCAGTACCTACCAGGACCTGATTTAATTGAATACATAATGGTAGGCCTTATGCATAATTTGGTGCATTTTTAAATAAAAAAAAAAATTAAAACATGCAAAAATTTAAAAAAAATGTATCTTCAAACGTTAAATGTTTTATAATATCATGATTGATTGCTAGTCGTGATAAATAATTCAGTTTTTCTTGTATTTAATAAGAAAACATTAAAGTGCAGAAAATGATACACAATATAATTAAATAAAAAACTATGTTTAAACGCTCTTTTATAGTAATTATAACCTATTCAATACTTAGTCGTCAATTCACTAAAAATATCATTAAAGAATACACTTTTTTGTTTTCTATAGAGTGAGAAGTGGGCCCAAAGAATGTCAAAGCCTTGTGCTTGTGCATCGCATTTACATGCGAAAATCAGGGCCTGATACCTACTGCTTATTATAATTAATTTTGACTTACAATAGATAGACCACACATTAGTGACCACTAGGATTATTTTTTCAACGATTATTAAAAACAATGTCTATAACACTCCTTAATAATAATTTATTTATTTATAGCTAAAAATGATAATGATAAAGATAACGTATTCATACAGGTTCAAATTTAAACAATTTTTCAATATTCATAACTTATATTAATTATTATCAACGAGTATAATACAAATTGTATAACACTCTTTTTGAAAATCAAGCTATTTGTCTGTTTCTCACACATGTTATGTAACCTCAACGTGTTATATACCAATCGAGTGTTATATGTGGTCTATCGATTATAAGTCTACGGTTTCCTTTAATATTAAATAAGGTTGTTTTGACGTTGTTGAGTATAGAACACAAATAATTTAAAAATAAAATATAACTATTATTATATTCAGAAAAATATAACCACAAAAATTACCCCAGAGAGTTAGAGGAAGAAAGCATGAAAAAAAGCCACCATTTGTACAGTACTGATATTATAGATGTGTTTCTTTATTATCTATGGGTAGTAGGTATAAATAGTGAGACTGATAAAAAAAAAATCCTGTTACAGGTGTTGGATGCACGAGAGCCAATGCCAGTGGATGCTGACCGTACCGGTTTTTGCGTCCATATTGACTAGCCTGCTATTCCTGATGAACGTCATGCGAGTGCTGCTCACCAAATTGCATCGAAACTCCACGAACCCGGCGCCCATTGGAGTCCGAAAAGCGGTCAGAGCCGCTCTCATCCTGGTGCCGTTATTTGGCATACACTACATACTCATACCATATCGGCCAAAGCACAAAACTACCATGGAAATGATTTATCAGATATTCTCAGCATTGTTGGTGTCCACTCAGGTTCGCGACTTTCTTTTATTTCTTCTTAGGTTTAAAACGATCGGTTTAGAAACACTGTCACTTGTATTTTGTTTCTTTTACTTCTCTCTATCTGCCACCACGCTTATATTTAACAGTTCAATTACTTTATTCAACTATATATGTTTTGTATTGAATCACCTTTGCTAAAACCTGTCTCTGAGTCTTTTTCTTGTTAGCTTGTTTCCCATTACTTTCCTTATGAGTGAACACTATATTTATCATACTTGTCTTTCGATTCCAACTTCTTTCTGATTAAAAATTTCAGTTCACTTGGCTTATTATACAGTTTCCGCAGTTTTTATTTGTTTTTCTATAGATTTGTGACTTTACCATGATGAAAATATTACTCTATTTTTCTTCGAAACGAATAATAACCTCCTTCGCGGTATTGTGATCGAAAATACAGCAGTTTTTTAATTGCGTCCCTGAACGCACTTTTTGTAAACCTTTGCAAACGGTGTAGGTACGGATTTAAAGAAACCGCATGCTAATTTCGATATTCCAGAACAATAATTTGGAGACGAAACTTCGGGGCACGGAATATTATCCTTTGGGGGCTCGGTTTGATATATGTAATAATATTGTATGATGTTTAATATATGTATTTTGCAGTCGGATAAATTGGACAGACTAGACGGGAGAATATTATCGTATATTATTATACAATAAAGCGTGCTACTTTAACATTATTATTTTATATATATTCTAGACCTTATAATTAAATATATTTTGTATAGTAACAGATGTTGTTTTGTCTCATACAGGGTCTTTGCGTGTCTGTTCTCTTCTGTTTCGCTAACGTGGACGTGCACATGGCTTTCCACAAATACATCCGAAGGATTAAGAGGAGAGGTACCACGCATACAAATGTCACAGGCACTACGCAACCGAACCAGTCACAGATAAGGGACGCGAACGTCTAAAGTTGGCGACAATGGTGGCGACGACAACGATTGATAATAATTTTAAGAAGAATAATAAAATTAATAATAATACTCGTACTGTATAATATTATATTGTACAAACAGAAAAAAAAGTTAACGTCGAACGGGTGTGTTATTTCGTTTCGTTTCGTATCTAGAGTTGAACGTTTTGTAAACATTCCGCGGAATCTTTTCGAGGCAATACTTGTATGCTTCCCATTCTCTGGAAAAAAAAAAAAAATAGAAATCTTATAAATAACTTCACGTAAAAAACCGATTATCCTATAAAAGAAAGTATAGGTACCTGGGTCTGTTGGTCATCGGTCACCAGTAGCCTGGGATGGTGTTGCGGCGATACAGACGTAACCTTCAAGCACGGGTTCCACGATCCGTTCTTGTTTATTTTGCAATGTTTCCATCGCTTCTTCATTTCGGACAATACCTGCGATGGCGGGGAAAGAAATCCGGACGTTAGAATTAATAGTTCAGCATCTCCCACAAACAACCAGACATATACGTCAATTTCGCACAGACATAGTTAAAGATTTACTCACCTCTCCGTTACAAAAGCAGAACAAGAGGGCTACGCACAATCCTTGGCACGAGGCGACCACCGCGGACGTGACCTGATAAACGGGCTCCCACGAGTTGCCGGGCTCCGGACGGAATGGCGTCACGATATACTGAAGGCCGAGCAACGGTATCAGGATGAGCGTGGCCCGGACCGCTTTGCCAGTCCGGCTCGACGACGCCGGAGCTTTCTCGTAACTATCCACGCTGCTGTTGTTCCTTTTGAAACTGTGCAATCGCATATTAGCAAACAATGTACATTGTAAAAACTTCCTATATGGCTTAAACTATAATAAACTGCGGTTATTATAGAGGCACAACTATACACGAGAGTGGGGAAGGTAACTTAAGAAGGCTGATTCGCCTATATTTCGCGTCCCTTAAAATTTATATAGTCTTGTACGAGTCCATCAAACAAAATAATAACAATAATAAAACATGACGCGCACAATAAATTTAATAATATTTCGTATTATCATATGCGATTCTGCGGGTCCCAGAGGTTTATAGCTGCACCTGCAGGCAGTGGTCTAGCATGGATCAACAAATAATAAGACGAATTACATTTATATTTATTTAATATTGTAAGTTATTCTAAAAATAGGATAGGTATGCTGGTATGTTGAGTCCGGATAAGTATTTTAGTAACCACCATTCTAAACCCTCGCCTGCAGCAGTATTTCGGTTAGGTTAAGCGAATATAATATTATTAAATTATAATTATATAAATAATATATTGTTAGTGGATAGGATAGATACCGCAACGGGTTTGCCACCGACCTTCGGAGACTGAATGATTGGGCCCGGTCCCTAGCCACTACGTGCTTAGGACTGGTCATGGTTATCTGTCTGGCGTGCAGTTTGACCAACAACAGTCGGACAATGTTAATGAGAAACACCAAGTTGGCCAACATGGACATGCAAACCGGGCCCGACAATATCCACGAATGTAGCGATTCGTGTATCCAGCAGCTATAAATTAAAATAAAACAAAATGTGAAACAAGATGGAAAAAAATAGGCAACGACAATATTATTAATACATTGCATCATATTTATTATTAATATCCATATTATCACGTTGTAAATCAACAATCTGCGAAAATGTCGTTAACCCGTCGTCGTCCGCGAAAAATTAAAAAAAAAAAATTAGATGTAACTGTTTTCATCGTCGGAAAACGAGTACAAGAAGACATCAATGGAAATGTTATTGTTTTTGGCGTCGTGGATGATTTTAAAACAATATATGCTAAAATATTTCGGCGTTTTTAAAATTCGCCACGAAATACATACACACAGGTATGTAAATATAAGTTATTCGAAAATCAACTAATTATTCGCGATCTCAGAAAAGATGACAGATTTCTATTATACATCTTCGGTGTTTTTCGTGAAGCAAAATAATTATTAATCATTATATAAAACAAATTTATGACGTGTACCGCAACGTTTCAAAATCGTGGCCGTCATAACACGACTGCACATAATCAATACATTTATATGCATTGATTGATTACATATTTCAGAACACCAATCAAATATATTAAGGTTTTTGGACACATTACTATGCATTTGAATAACACGTTTGACATATATTCTTTTTTTATTTTTTTCGTTTTACTGAACTGTATCTAGAAACTGTTTAGTGTTAATAATAAGTATAGGTATATAAAGTGTGTATTGACTATAAAAATATAAGTTATACCTAATATATAAGGCTTAAATGAAAATAACATAATATGTTATTTTCATTGAGTAATATTATTGCTTACTCAATATATTATATTATAATATACATTTATAATTATTAAATCTTTTGCGGTTTTTTTTTTTTTTATGTAATTACTCCTATATATATAAAAAAAAAAAAAGTATATTTATACAATAGGTTTTCCACTTGTGTATACAGTATTTATCATTTTTTAAAACAATATAATGTATGAAAAAAAATGTACTTATAACTAAAAAAAATTTATGTTATTTTTCAATTGGCTATTTTATTATTTTATTAATAACCTACTCTATATTATAGTCATCGCTATGATTTCTATGAATTTTGTATTTTTTTTTTGGAGCGTGGCGTGTTATATTCGTATTGTTAACAATTCGGTTCGTGTACTTTACATTTTAGATTCTGAATGGAGCGAAGAATATATTAGTTTTACAAAGATTTAAATTTTTTATGTGAATACTTCTTCTACAAGAAAGCTTACTCCGATGTATGCAATGTAAACCCTTTTCTAAAAGAAAACTTTCTTGGGGTAGTACTTAAAGGAGGTTATTTTTCGATTTTTCTCTGGAGATTTATCATCAAATGTGAAAATCCGAAAAAAAAAAAACAGAGAAAAACGAGAAAATATACGGAATATATTAATACAATATTCTGATTTTTTTTTTTCATTACGGCGTTATTTTCCGTTTTTTATAGGAAATTTTGATTCGATTTACAACTTCTCGTACGTTAAAAATTGATTTTCAAATATTATTTACACTAAATTTATTTTTAAATACAATTTTTAGCGTATTGTTTAGAAATTTAAGGACATAAAATCATTAATTTTAGGACATATTTTAGGGTTTTATAGCGCATTATATTCCCAGCTCTAGTCATGAAGTAACTTGGTAACTCCTGGTAACTTGACTTGTTGTATCACTATCGTTACAGATTAGGTGAGATAGTTAATTTATAGAAACATTGAGATTTACAAACTCATATAAGATACGATAGTATATCACAGTTGGACAATAGTTATTAATTTAAAAGACTTAAGAGATCCAGTAATTATAATAAAAATATCGAGAAGTGATTGTGTAGGCGTTTTTAAAAATATCAATAATAAAAAAAAGGCACACAAATTTAAAAATAAAATAAAAAAGTGTTATTGCATTCATTCTATCGATTTAAATTACATGTTGTTAATGCGGCTACTGTTAAACCACAGATATATGTGTAAACTAGATTGCCATCTTCACTAACAAATTAAACTAATGCTTTTGAATCGTGGATTTTATCATATACTTTTATATTCGAATAACACTAACAATTGTTACATCTATGGTAACAAAATAAATCAGATATAAACTACAAAAGTCTCCGATATACTCTTTGGTCGTTACTAATATTATATATACAGATATAAGTATATACAAATATTACCACAATAAAACACACAGGTAAAACTATATGATAACTGATAAGGCTTATAATGGGCCTAAAATTAAATGTTGGACAGTAACTTAACGTTTTATTACCAGTTAGCAATAGAGTTTAATTGAATAATGTAACCGAGTGTGAAACGCATAATACGAGAAAATACTTCCGAAATAATATTATCCATTTCATAATCTCAAATATTTTCCAGGTACTTATTTTCTGTTCCGTGTTTTCTGAAAAATTCCATGGCAATCAAATAAATACCAAAATAATAATGGTGATAGTACATAGTCTTTTATATTCGTATATATGACTTGAAATTTTGACAGAACAATTATATTTGCTTTTTCTAGGCCCAGTCGAATTTTCAAAACATTTGTTTAATATTTAAGCTATTTATAGACATTTTAATTTTTTGAGTTTTTACCTAATTTTTATTTGGTTTGACTCGGTGGATAAAAAAACAGACAAAACAAACAACAAGCTTGACAAATTAACAGGAGACTCTTTATAAGTCATTTTTAGTGATAAAAAAAAATAAATAAATATATAAATACAAATTTGGTGTTATATAGTTTTTTTTTTTTTTTTTAAGTTTTAAAATTACATTTCGATGAAAATCATAAATATTACCACCTTTCAAAACATATAACCTAACGGGAACTTCGCTCCGAATCGTTTTTCGTTAAAAACGGTTTATCATTGGTTCCATGTATAAATTATAGAACTAGATGTATCCCACCTTCCATACTACCTACTTACAACAGAGGCCACACCCGTCCCCAGTAACAGCTCTTTTTTACATCATAATTTATTGTAATATCGAATGACGTTCCGTCAAATTAATATAACGTAAACGACAGAGGAGTCGGATGACCTAAAAAAAATATGTGAACTTCTATCCCTGTGTGTATGCACATCGAAAAATATTCCCGATTCAGTACAATAATAATAATAATACCTAATAATAATAGAATGACGCACACGTTTTATTACCTATTATACCTCAACGGGAAAAAATAATAACAATTCAAAGTTTCTCGAATCATTATTTATGTAAAAAGGCACATGTGCCATATGCGATATTATTCAGATTATAATGTGGGGCGATATTTTTATATTATTTAAAAATTTTCGAGTGTTTTAAATTGCTCGCATAAATAAATGTGTATTTTTTTTTTTTTTGAAAGAGAATGATTGGTTAAAATCTCTGATATGTGGCGCTTTTTATTTAATTTAGTCAAAAAACTAACCATTGTTATTATGGTTATCATAAT